CTCTTCATTCCCTTGGAAAAAAGGTTAATAAACTCTGAGAATCAGGGAATATTTCTGTATAATAGCTCTGCTGTGGGAAGAGGGGGCAGGGTGTAAAGGTGGTGGGGCTTGCCATACAAATACACTAGGCACACTCCTGAATTTCCTTCTAGGGAGAGTGAAGCTCAGGTCATGTTCTGCTTACAGAAGAGTGAAGGAAGAGTGAGGAGGGGAAGCAAGGGGAGAGATTATTTTTGTGCAGAGCTTCCCTGAATTACCCAACCAAAAACCCTGCCAGTATGATTCAGTTCCTTCTCCCAGCCAGTGGAGCAGGCACTGACTGCAGACATGACTACCCCAGGGAATCACACCTCCAGGCAGAGCTGGAAATGAGGGCAAGAGAATCCATCATGAACTTTCTCTGCTCTCACAGGCAGGAACTTTCTCCGATTAGCTTCAGTGGCTGCAGTGCTCCTCTCTCTTACACAAGTCATTGGCCAGGGTGGAACGGGGGGGCCTGGGACAGTCAGTGGAAGAACAGCTTCAGGCACTGGACGCAAAACCTGGAGAACAGAAGCAGAGAAACACAGAGTGGGAAGCCCACCAGAGATTTTAGCTAGCACAAGAACCACCCCAGACAGGGAGAGAAAGAGCTCTGTCTGCAGCCAAGCCTATACCCATGGCTTGTTGGGAAAGAAGAGTTGGAGGAGGATGTGCCTGAAAGTCTGGAGCTCCAATCACATGGTCTGACCTGGAGAGACACCCAGTCAGTCCTACTCTCATCCACCAAGGAAAAGGGCTCTCTCTCACTTTAAATCATGATTGCTGTTCAGGTGTTGTGGAATTAAAAAAAAGCAAATTATAATCTCCCTCGCTGGTCAGAGGCATGGAAAGATTTAGATTCCGTGTTTTTTCTCATCAGCTGCACAAAAGCCTAAAGGTAGTGTGAAGACACTCTTCCCTGTCACTCTGGCCTCAGTGATATTAACCATGTGTAAAAAACAGGGGGATGTGGGTAGACTATAACCAGACAACGCTGCCTCGGTCTGGCAGGAACACGGACTTACATCAATGTGGTAAACACACAGCTCCTACAGAGCAATACACTTGCTCTCTTTGCAATACAAGCAGCTATTTGCATTTTACTTGTAAGGAAGCACCTGAAGAGATATGATCACCGTGGTGGCTGACAGCACTGCTGTTCCACACCCTGAGACCATCCATAGGTGAGTCACAAATGCCAGGATATCCAGCGGGCAGAGGAGACTCAATTCTCCATTCCTGTAGGGATGACAAAATGACTACAATGGATCGGGGAAGTCCCTTTTTTATGCAAACATAGGCACAGACTGTGCTAGACAGAAACGGATACTAAATAATTCTCCGCCCTTATCAATTGTAGGGCATTGCCAAGTGGTAGAGAAAAATCCACTGTTTTCCCCACATTCTGTGGCTAAGAAGAGAACAGAGACGATTGTGGATGTGACTTTCCGAAAGTTACAAACAAGTTTGTGCCTGAAGCTTCTTCTGCTAACAGAAGATGGTAGAGCCAGGAATATAAAAAAACTGCTCTTCAAAAAAGGGTCAGACATGAGTAACTGGATGAGGCATTCACCTGTCTTCATGCGCAACTCGTGTGATAATTTTAAGTGACATATCCCCAGAGTTGCAGAGCAGCTTTTTGAAATATTCTTTTTTTACACCATCCATCTAGCAATCATAAGAAAACAAAAACACACATTCCAGCCTCCTCTGAACAGTTTTCTGAAAAAGAGAGTAGGAATTTTACTTGGCCTAAAAAGGAATACAGCACATGATCTAGAGGATGTTTGAGATCAACCCTTTATCCTCTCATTTTCCATTGCACATACTCTAATACCTACTTCTATTGATCTGACATGCAGAAAACTAGGACAGATAAAAGAGAAGTACGTGGTACATGCAGCAGCATGGCAGGTGTGATCTACCTTGAGGGTGATCAGACAGCCAGGGCCAAAAAACTAGGACGTACATGTTTGCCAGGAGGGATTTCAGTATGGACACTGCATTCTAAGTAAAGCCAAGTAAAAAGACAAGTGCAAAATCTGTCATTGTTGGCTGCACTGTCTCTAAGGGTATTTCTCTTCAAAAAGCCCCATCTCAAAACTCACCAACCCAAATTCTCAAGTAGCATCACACAGTCCCAATAGTGGGGATAGGATGGACCTCTGGAGCTCACCCAGTTCAGCCACCCTGCCCAAAGCAGGGTCAAGTCCCTCTGCTAGGGATGCTGAAGACCACTAGTATTTGAGCTAAAATTTCTCACTTATACTAGCCCTGATGTGTTTTCATGGTTATGAACTCAGGAAAATTTCCATTCAGCCATCTTAGAGATATTCAGGTCTTTCATACATTTAAGCATTTTTTCTGACTGCTTCAAACGTGTATTAGCATGCTAAAGAGGCTTTATTTTAAAAATTCAAGCTTGTTTTGGAAACATCGTTAATAAACATAACTGTACTCAGAAGACTTGGTTGCAAAATAGGAAGTTACAGATGCTTGTGAATTATTTGTGGCACCACATGAGAATTATGAATTTGAAAAGCATTTATCAGCACAGTCTTTTTATAAGTGAAGGAAAGCAGGATGAGAGTACTAATATCTGTGGCTATCATTGCTGTTAGCAGTTGGCCATACCACCCGAATCCTCAAAGAAAGTAGGACAACACAAAAAGAAAAGTAGGACATTTAATAACTCCATGCCACCTGGAACACTCAGCACTGCATCAAGTGCATGCACTCAGTACACTGAGGTGCACTGGACAGATGAACCTGGAATATTGAAGTGGGAAGCAATGGCTACTGGATGAGGTTATGCCTGAAATATTCATCAGGAGAAGATAATTTAATGTTTTCTTTGAAAAAACAATTCCCAGATCATATGCTTTACAAAAAGAAGTGAAAAGAAAACCCAAAACATAGTAGGAAAAATAATCCATAGGGTTTAGTCTGCTTTTCTTATCACTAACTGCAGTGTGTTTTCTGGACCATCTTCTGCGTCAACGTGATTTTTGTAGAACAGACTTTTGCATACCCAGAATCCCAAATTTGGCCTCAAGCGGCCACCTTATGTTACTATTCACATCCCATCCTGACATTCTTAAGCAGAAGGATTTGGGGAAGCTTTTGACAAAAAAAAGCCATTTTATTGACTTTGACATGTTTGTATTGCTGCAAATGGCATTTTAGAAAAGGGAAAAAACATAATGGAAAAAAAATTTGTGTCTGGTGTTAAGTTCATTACCCTGACCCACAGGTCCCTGCCAGACTGCCAGACTTGTTCTTCTGAGTCCTCAAGCTCAGGTCCCTGTCAAAAGGAGGGCTGTGGTCTACAAAAGCAGCGTTACTTCTTCACATCATTTAGCCAGTGGTGTGTTGTGAATGGCCAACACCTCTCTTCCTTTCTTATAGGATAGGGTCTCTTGGCACTTTTATGAAATCTCTGAGGCTGTTCACCATCTTTCAGACATCATGAGAGACCATGGCCTGAGTCAGAATAATAGAATATCCTGAGTTAGAAGAGACCTACAAGAATCATTGAGTCCAGCTCCTGGCCCTGCACAGGACAGCCCCAAGAATCACACCATGTACCTGAGAGCATTGTTAAAACACTTCCTGAAATCCATCAGGCTTGGTGCTGTGACCACTTCCCTGAGGAGCCTGTTCCAGTGCCCAACCACACTCTGGGTTAAAAACCTTTCCCTAATATCCAGTCTAAACCTCCTTCTGACACAACTTCAGCCCATTCCCTGGGGTCCTGTCACTGGTCACTGCAGAGAATCGATCAGTGCTCTTCCCCTCACGAGGAAGTTGTAGACTGCCATGAAGTCTCTCCTCTTCTCCAGGCTGAACAGACCAAGTGACCTCAGCCACTCCTTGTATGGCTTCCCCTGTAGATCCTTCACTATCTTTGTTGCCCTCCTTTGGACACTCTCTAATAGCTTAATGTCTTTCTTATATTGCAGTGACCAAAACTGCACACAATACTACAGGTGAGGCTGCCCCAGAGCAGAGCAGGACAATCCCCTCCCTCGACCAGCTGGCAATGCTTTGCTTGATGCCCCCCAGGACATGGTTGGCCCTCCTGGCTGCCAGGGCACTGCTGACTCACATTCAATTTGTCATTGACCAGGACTCCCAGGTCCCTTTCCCAGCACTGCTTTCCAGCGTCTTATTCCTCAGTCTGTACTTACATCCAGGGTTGCCCCATCCCAAGTGCAGAATCCAGCACTTGTCTTTGTTAAGCTGTTAGTGATTGCCCATCTCTCTAATTTGTCGAGGTGTCTCTGCCCTGGAAGGAGTCGACAGCTCCTCCTAATTTTGTATCATCGACAAACTTGCTTAGTATCCCCTCCAGTCCTGCGTCCAAGACATTTGTGAAGATGTTGAAGAGCACAGGGCCCAAGATGGAGCCCTGTGGAACCCCCTAGCGACAGGTCACCACCACGAGTTTGTCCCAAAGCATTTTCCACCCTGAGGTCAGACCCACCTTTCCCTGGCAGGACGTTCATGCTGTTCATGGCTGCGTGGCATCCTTCTGAGGCTGGTGTTTTCCGTGCGTGATGGGAGACATTTCTCCTGGTGCCTATGGTCATTCTGTTGGTTCGGCTTAAACAGCAAACCCTGGGTCCTTCCTGGACAACATTTCTTCTGGCTGGAATATTCTGGAGTACTTTCAGGTTTTACTATTATTATTATTATTATTTGTTTTGAGAGCTGTTGTGTTTGGGGGTGGTGGTGTTTTTGTTTGTTTGTTTTTGCTCGTTTTGTGGTTGTTGTTTTTTGTTTGTTGGTTTGGTTTTTGTTTTTGGCGGGGCGGTGGGCACCGAGTATATTTTTATTGGTGTGAAAAAAAAACCCTGTTCACTTTCTCCCTCTGCCACACATCATCTCCTGCTCCCCGTGCCCGGCAGCGTCAGCGCTGGCAGCCAAGCGCCCGCGGCAGTGGGTCACCTCGGGGGCAGGAGGGCGACTCCGCAGCGAGGGCCGGGACACGGGGGTGGGGGTGTGAAAACACTTTTCCTCGGGATTTGTGGGGTTTTTGTTGTTTGTCCCTTCCAATCGTGGCCGGGCGCCGGCGCGGAACGCCGGGGCCGCGGGAGCCGTTTCCAGCCGAGCCGGGCCGGGCGGCGGCAGCGGCGGCGCTTCCCGAGGGCGGGATGGCGAAAGTGGTGGCGGCCCTCAGGAACCACTGGAAGAAATCCACGGTCGGCGCCTGCCTGCTGGGCTGGGGAGGGCACTGGCTCTATGGGAGGCACTGGTAATGCCGGCTGGGGCCGGGCAGGGAGGCGGGAGGGAGAGGAGCTCCTAGAATGGGGGTGTCCCCTCGGAGGGCCCCGGCACCCTCAGGGCTGGGTCTCCATCCCGCTCCAGCAGCCGTGGGGAGGCTCAGTGGCTTCTGTCCTTCCCACCTTGGCCGTGTTGTGCGCCTGGCGCTGGTTCAGGCGGGAGGTTTTAAACACGGGGGATGTCTGGGTGGCTTGAGCGATTTTAGGGCCTCTTGGAGAGCAGAGAGTTTTCTCTCTTCTGACTTAAAAAAATGCCCTCGTCCGTGTGCGTGCCATCAGCCTGCCTGCTTTTAGCCCGTGCTGTAAGGATGAATGGAACCAGGCTGGCAGGGTGCCACCTCCGTGTGCCGAGGACAGCCATCCCAGCGCGGTGGTCGTGTGCCCGTGGGTTTTCCCAGCTCCTTTTTGCTTTTAATGGTGCCATGCCCCACATGAGGGATGCCAGGCTGCTGTTGCAGGAGCCCCTGTTCCTTTCTGGAGGCCGGGCGTGGGCAGCAGCCCTGTGCTGTCCTTGCTGGTGTTGCTCACCCAGTTGCAAGGAGCCCGTCACTGCTGTTCACATAATTTGTACCTAATGGTGTCATTCCCACTGTTTACCTGTGGAGCAGATGTCCCTTATGGTAAGCAAAATCCTCATTTGTGATGTTTAAGTAGCTGTGTTTGTATTTTAGTCCCTGTCCATTAAGATGACCATAAATGCATCTGACTAAAATGCAAGTGTAGCCAATTTATTTTAAAAAAATGTTACTTTTGGTGCTGCTGTTTGTCCTGTCCCTGTCTGGATGCCTTTTTGGTTGTTAAGTTGGGATTTTAGCAGTGTTCTTTTCTGCTTGCATTGAAATGCTGCCAAAGCCTTGAGGGAAAAGTTAGGAAAATAAATCTGTTTATGTTGTTTGTTATACCTTCCTTCTTCACATCCTTTTGCCTCGGGACTTTTGCATTAAATCAGTTTTTGTTTTGCATTGTACATCTGCTTTAGTTGCTTGCTTCTTACCTGAAGCAACTAAGGCTCAGTTGACTTTCAGAGAAGTAGCTGGGGGTCCCGGTGGACAACAAGCTGTCCATGAGCCAGCAGTGTGTCCTTGTGGCCAGGAAGGCCAGTGGTATCCTGGGATGCCTTAGGATGAGCATTGCCAGGAGGTCGAGGGAGGTGATCCTGTCCCTCTACTCAGCACCCTGGGGAGGCACATGTGGAGTGCTGTGTCCAGCTCTGGGCTCCTCAGTACAAGAGGGATGTGGAGCTCCTGGAATGGGTTCAGTGGAGGGCAAGGAGGATGATGAGGGGACTGGAGCATCTCTCTTAAGAGGAAAGGCTGAGAGAGCTGGGCCAGTTCAGTCTTGAGAAGAGACAACTGAGGTGGAACCTCTTCAATGTCTGTAAGTATCTGAAGGGAGGGTGTCAAGAGGATATACCAGGCTCTTCTCAGTGGTGCCAAGCAATGGGACAAGAGGCAATGGGCAGAAACTGATGCACAAGAAGTTCCACCTGAACATGCACACCTTCACTGTGCAGGTGACTGTGCACTGGAACAGGTTGCCCAGGAAGATTGTGGAGTCTCCCTCGCTGGAGATACTCGAGAACTGTCTGGACACAATCCTGTGCCGTGTGCTCTGGGATGACCCTGCTTGAGCAGGGAGGTTGGACCAGATACACATAGCTTACCCTGTTGTGAGCAGAAGTATTTGTACTAAATAGGTTGGGTTTTTTGATGCCTCCATGTAATGTCAGTGACCTTGCATTCAACTTTCTCCTCTGACGCCTCGAACTTTGAATTTTGATGAAATAACAAAATGTAAAAGAGCAATTATTTGAAGTTCTATCATTCTCAATACCTCTTAGCCAAAAGAATAAACTTAATGTACAAAATGAGGAGGAAGAAATTGCTCAGTGGCATTCCTGTGAGGAGGGGCTGGCTGGTGGGGCAGAGCAGCCTGTGACCTTCACAGGTACCCAGCTTACGTAAGTGGCCTCTTCACCGGTCTTCTGGTGCCACAGATACTAATGACAGCAGAGTGCAGACTACAGAGAGCTACTGGAGTAGACTTTAAGGAAATGACTATGCTCCTTGTGCATATGGAGAGTGGGCACTTGAGAAGGCCTGGGAAAGGTGACAGGCACAACCAGTCTCCCCTTTGTGTCTCTTGTTTCCAGGAGCTCGTGTGCCTGTTCGTGTGCTGTTGGTTTCAGCTGTATTGATTTCCTGTGTGGTAACTGTGAAGTCACATTCTGATCACAGAGAATGTGCATAAAGAGGAAAATATGAAAGGCAAACAAACAAAAAAAGGGAACCTTTGGTATCTAAATTTCAGTGCTTGGAGGTTATTTGCACTAAGTGTAGGCATGGTGCTTTAACCCAGATGATATATTGGGGGGGAAAAATATGTTCACATATCCCATTCTTCAGTCTCCCCTTTTATCTATAAAGGAAAGTAAAAAGAAAAATTTCCTTACCAGACACTGGAAATGCAAGGTAGGAAGTACTGTGATGACAAGCAGCTGTGTGAGACTTTGATGCAGGCTGAAGCACAGCTGTGAAGTACAGCTTTCAGAGATTTAAACACTGTTTGGAAACAGTGACAACCGTTTAGCCATTTCTGTGCTAGTCTCTGTGGAAGATTGTTTTAGCCAGGGAACAGAAAAATGAGGAGTGACAGAAGAACCTGATGGCAAGAGTGTAAAAAAGTATTCAAAGGTGGTCTCAGCAGCCCTTTCATAGTACTCTGTGCACGGTGAGTGCCTTACCTTGGTGCTGCTGGACAGGATCCCTTTCTGCAGCTTGTTTTGCTTTCGAATTCGATGGCTTTTGGTGTCTTTTTGTACATTCCCTCTTCCCAGTGTCTTTGTCTGTGTACCAGTTACGCTGGGGAGCAGGAGAGCTGCCTTTTGCCCCACACACAGACTGCCACAGGCAGCACTGGGAGAGGTTAGTGAAGGATCCGTGTATGGGCTGTGTTGGCCCCGAGGCTTGCTGTTACCAACATCAGAGGCTAAATTGCTATGCATGAGACATACCTGACTAGACTTAGATTTGCCCTTTTAGAACAGATTAAAGGTTTAGTGAAGTCTCGTGCTTCGGTTTCTGGCATCACGAGTTTCTGATGATGGGGTGTTTTGCTTTAGCACAGGATCAGTTCAGATTAGCCTCTGACTTCTTGGAAGGAGCTCTCTGAGATGTTGCTCATTTGTTTGCAGCTGAAGATAATTTTTGTTTCCCATCCTGCATCCCTCTTTCCGTCCTTGTGGATTTTCTAAAATATTTCTCTTGCAAGGAGCAGATAATTTTCTTTTTTGACTTCTCAAGGTTCATTCCTCTTTTGGATGCAGTGGTTATGATGCCTGCATTAAGTGGAGCTATTGTAAATAACAATCTATCCTGCAAATAAATGGCAACTCTTCTGTAGTCAATCTCTACATGCTCACAGGGACAGAAGAGCTCTGGAGTATTTCCTTAAGATTTTGGAGGGTGCTACATGGACAAATCTGGACAAAAGGAATGTTACCTTTTCCAGACTTGTTCCCAGTGCCACTTCCCTGCCTGGAAGTGGACCTGGGTGTCCCCCTCCTGCACCCTGAAGACTGTGCTGGGGGTCTGATGTGGATGCCGTTGTGCTCCCTAGGGCCTAAAGGAAAGAGGGGCACTGGAGTGTGATGGATCATCGCTGAGTTAGTCTAAAGGCTGTGGATGACAATAACTGTAAAGGTCGAGGAGCTGCTTAGTCTGGCCTTGTGTGGTACTTTGTTCATGCAGGGTTTAGTTTCTGGATCAGAGTATTGGCCTTCCGACTTTGGGGCCTTTGTTCAAATACTGACTGATTTAAAAGTAATGAGTTTTTGGGTGAATAGGAAGAGCAAAGAGGAAACCTTGTGCTGATTCCTCCTCCCCTGTTTGTAATTCAGCCCTTCTGAGTGTGTGATATAACAGAAGATACCTGTTTAGCAGAGGCATCGATCAGGAGGTGGCAAAGGTTTTTCATGTGTAAAATGATAGGTATTATGTCTGGTTGAACTGATGTTAACTAAAACCCTGTTGCCATTTTTACAAAACCTCAGTGAGTCTTAAAACTCCTTTTGTTCTCATAAAAGGATATTTTTTAAAAATCCATTGTCTTGCATTTAGGATAGTAAATACTCTTATAGTGTTGGAGAATTAAGACGATAACTCAGTGTTGCTACATGTGAGGTTGTCTTTAATGTCTCTGGATTGCATAAATTTACATATTACGCTCATGCTATAGCATATCATGCTGCAGGTACAAGGGACACTGAATTTAGTATCCTAGATCAAAGCTTAGAGGGTATTCAGATTGTCAGGTGTGTGCTCATACACAGTAACATACTTCTCTTTAATGTATACACATGAGATTGATTACAAACAAAGATACCGTATGATTGTTTTAAAATGTCCACCAAGTTTGGAAGCCCCTCTCACCTTTATGTCCTGGGTCACCTTTCCTGAGTTGAGCTGCTGCTGTTCTTTGTACGTCCAGGTGGTGCAGTGAGTCACCAGCTGTGCCAAGTCAGCAGAAATTTAATCTCTGGCATGATGGACATCAGTTTAACTGATTGTCAGATTTGACCAGACTGTTACAGTGATGTCCCTGCGTGAGTGATCATCACTTGGTCAGGATGGGGACCCTCGGTGTTGTACTGAGGCAGTGGACTCATCAGACTCTTGGTTTTACTCTGTATATGTTAAAGTATTGACTTTCTCCTTAGAAAATGCTGGCAAAGCACCTCAGCCTTTGACTGCCTGCCAGTAATCTTCAGTGTTATTGTTATCTACAATTTGAATGTTAGTCTCTGCGTGTTTGCCAACTGATAACTCACTTTGTCACCTTTCTGCATATACTTCCTGAGTGGCTGACTTTATTTCATCAGAACTTAGTCAAAAAAAAAGAGTATAAGTTCTGAGTCTTGGGTAAAGCTGATGAAAACTGAGATTGTCTTTCATGCTCTTCCAAAGCCAAGATGGAAGTAAATGCTAATATCCAGCAGAGAGGATGCTGTGCTCTTGCCGTATTAGAAGCAGCCAAAAAAGCTCTCTTCTAAGATAAAATCTCTCTTAGGAGTTCTGTTATAACTCCTGAGGAGTAATCCTATATGCACAGCTTTGGTCAAATTTCTCCTCACAAAACTCTTGTGTTTTAATACAGACACTGAACTGGAGAGTTTTTAGGCTTCTTCTTTCTGGGTATACTTAAGAGTCTTAGATTTAATACCGATAACCCTTTTGGAAATGGGATCTCACACCTGAGCTTCTTTATGCATTTGTAGTGTGGTCACTTCTAAGGGAGTTGCTTTGGTTGGCTCTCAGACAAAGGCTTACCCTTGCTGCAGCTGTGGGCCTCAAACAGCCTTGGTTTGACTTTGTTGTTCTGCTTATTGCCTGCATTGCTGCCCTGGCTGACCCTTCATCATGGGAACTGTCCTTTCCGTCCTGGCCTCTGCTGGAGGAGCATCCGTATTACATTGTGTGGATCCGTGTGCTTACATGTAAGAGTGCTAATTCCCTACTCTAGCTGAGAACACTCGGGACAGGAGCAGTGACCACCAATCCTGCACTGGGGGGGTGTTGCCAACGAGTCAGAACAGCCCAAGGTTCAAGGGGGTCGTACCGATGTTGTGCTCTCCCAGCGCTGGTGTGTGGGGAGCTCTGGACAGCTGCTCTTGTGTTCTCTCTGCCTTGGTTCCTTGCTTTGGTGTAAGCCCTCTCTGCGCTCCAAAGAGTCTGTGCTGCAGTGGCTGCTGGCCTTGAGGGTTGACTGGGAATGTTCTGTTCGTGGGTTCAGCTTAGGACATCCTCTCTCTTCCATACCCCACTGCCTCTGTTTGTTCCTCTCCGTCTCCCAATTTTTTACTGCTTAAGCAAGTTGGCCCAGCTGTAAGCTGTGTGGTGCTTAATTCTCACAGCAGGAAGACAGCTCTGAGTTGGCCAGCAGATGCAACACTGCTTGTCTCTTTCGCTTTAAGCTCGAATTGTGTAGATAAGCCCTTAGGGGAAATGTAAAGTAAAAATTGATTTTCGGTTTGCTGTGGATATGGTGCAAGTCAGAAGAAATCTCTGCATGTTCTTTAAGGCAGTGCAGCAATTTCCCTCAGCCTCCACCTGCTCGTGTTCGAGGGTTGTTGAAAAGGCTTTGTTACTGCCTAATAGTGGATGATAAAGTACAAAAACATCAACAAAATCTTGTGTGTGTTGTTAAAGTCTCTTTTTCTCTAGGAGCTGGTGTGCAGACATATTTTGAGAATTAATACATACTGAGCCACAAGACTAAGAAATTACCTTTTTGCTGTTTTAAACATTTTTCTAGCAATATTTATTAATTGGTATGACTTACAGAGGGCTTCCAGACCACTTTTGGTACTGTGTGTGAGCGACATGAGGTGAGTAGAGGAAAGAGCTGTGATGGAGGAGGAGAACTGCTGTTCTTAGAGATGCACTCCTGTGAGGGCACTTGTGCTTTTCAAACTTGAGTTTGAAGTCAATTAAGTGTTGACATCACATTTTAAGGAAATAAAATATTTCCTGTTACCTGGCATCCTTAAGCCAAACTTGGGGCATCCTTAAGACTCAGATGACTCTGAAATACATGTCCCTTTGGGTCAGTGGGAATCCTATGACTATGGCTGGGACGGTATGGGATTCTGGGTGCTGCGCTGCTGGAGAGGTGAGACAAATCACATATAAATTGCTGAATGGTGAACGGTTCTTCTGGTCTCTAAATTTTTCTTTTGACACAAAAATATTAAGTGTCAGAATAGACTTTTTCTGTAAGTGCTTCACTGCAGGAGAAAATGAACATAAATGTTGACGTCTAAATTGTCAAGCTTAATTTTTATGGTTGAGACTCCATTGAGCTGAATTGGGCTTGCATTCTTGACAGTTGTTTTGAGGGTCTTTGCAGGTTGGGAAACAGAGCAAAATATCTTTTGCTTACATTTGGAAAGTATTGCTGGGCTCCATTTTAGAGGCAGCTAACACTGCAGCATAAGGTTGTGGGCACCAGGAGAACATGCAGGCTGATGGTGTGACACAGCTTGACTTCTGGACAAAACAGCATCACTGTGAAGTAAACAGATAACGTAGGTTTGACCAGCATTTGTGAATAAGGTCAGGGCAGCAGTTCTCAAAGACATCAACTGTGCTGCCATCATTTGATAGCACGGTTTGCTTGATATCCCATAATATTTCAACTTTATGTATAGAAATTGCAGTTGCTTTGTGTTTGCTCCGGTCACACATAGTCACCCAGGGGGGTAAAAAGTCCCTGTGTGAGGGCTCATGCTCTCAGCGGTGCAGTGTGGGCTTAGCCCGTCATGCTGTCTTGACTGAGCTGGAATTAGCTGTGACAACGTTGCTTAGCTTGGAACACAAACCTTTTCAGAGGCAGTTACTTTAACTGGCGTGCTTTCATCATATTACTGCAATCAAACCCAAGTCTGTCGCTTCCCTAAGTAATATTGCCGGTGCTTAATACAAATTATTTACTCCTTTAGTTTTAAGGAGCAAATATGACAGCATGCCTCTGAGGAAATTTTTTCTTAGACATTTCAGTTTCTTGTTATCCCGATGAGGTATTACTCACATATTTTCTTTTTCCATGCTTGACTCTTCCTTTGTCCTTTCGTTATTACCAGGAATAATAATGTGGCTTTTTTACTGTAGAGTTATTTTCTCGGAACCCAGTTTGATATCTCACCTGAAGTCACCCTACTTCTCATTTTATGGCATTGCAGCATCTCTTTTAAGCCAAAAAGAGCAGCTTATATAGCTCCAGTGAGAGATAAATACTGTAAACTCATGGAATTGAATAGATGGCACTCGTGTTTGGGCCTTGCCCTCTCTTCTGCCATTTCCATCGCAGGGTTTGGCCTGATGAGCCACTCTTTGGAGCACAAGTGTGCTGATTTCTTAGTCACTTGTTTTTTTCTGGTTGGCCTTTAATCCTTTCAGTGTAGTGTTCATTTTGGTATGCTGACTGTAATTGGGTTTTTTTGTACTTGATATTTTGAGACAGTAATATACAGTCTTGCCAGGTATTGGCAAGGACAAGCTGAAAGGAATGTTTTGGTTTTAGCAAGGAGGGGCAGCGTCTGGTATCTAGAGGACAGGTGAGACTCTGGACACTGCAGAACATTACTCCCCATTTTGTCTGCAAGGGGAAATAGGGCATTTTTTGGTCTGGGAAAGAGCAGACTTCTGTTCCTCACTCAGTAGCTCTGTCTCCTGTGTGCTTGCCAACTATACCCTGCTTGTCACCTTGCTAATGCTGTCACCAATGACAAGCACAAGGATTAGTCAGGAATTTATGTCTGAAACAAATGTCCGTGCCATATCTGATATTTTCTCCTTTGTTTTTAAACTTCACTTATGTGAGTTGAGTGTTTTTCACCTCTGTGAGTTACTGCTTTAGGCCATGCTCAGACCTAGGTGGGTGGTAGGTGCTGCATGAACACGTGTTCAGCTCACAAACTGATGGAGAGGGGAGTTTACAATTATAACGCATAAAGATTGAAGTCCGTGGAAGTTACACTTAAATCTACTTTAAATCCCTTCTATACTGCCAGGATGGTAAGTACCTTCAGTGTAAATAACAGGCAGCATGAACACTGGAAAAACCCTCACCTTAGCTCTGGAGTACAGTTATGTAGCAATTTAAAAATAAATTACAGTTATACAGTGTGTCAGAGCTTATGTAATCTCAGCACACTTGGCATCCTGGTCTTTGTTTCCCGCTTTTCTTTATTTTACAAAGAATGTTCGTGTGTTCAGGCAGAAAAAGATTATGTTTGTGTGCTTAAATGGGTGCATTTCAACCTTAAATTTTTTTTTGTTTGTTTCAGTGTTGTCAAACTGTGTGTAAAGGGGGTATGTACCTACATTTTAAAAATGAGCAAATTGTTTTAAACTTACACAACATAATGCCTGCTCTCTCTTCTGTCTCACCTGATAGCGATAACCTGCTACGAAGAGCTGCATGCCAAGAAGCCCAGGTAATACCGTTTAAAGTCATAAAATTAGATTAAAATCTCCCTCTTATCTTGGTTGTGCAGGGCTCCTGAGATTTTCCCAGCGGGCCCTTTCTGCGTGACAAGCCTTGTAATGGTGCCATCTGTGTTCCTTTGCTGAAGTGCCAAAGGGTGTCGGAGGCCCCGCCTGCAGCCGGGGCACTGCACCTTCCGTGCCCTCGCTGCTGCTGCGGGGGACGGCACAGCCTTATCGCCGGGGTGATCTTCGTTACTGCTGTAGCTGCCGGACCCACAGTACTGCAGCTGTAATTGCTCTGTGCCTGTGAAGTTCTGGTAGGAAGAGGATTTGTCGGTAAAACTGAAATCGCAGACCCACCGCCAGGGGTGCAGTCTGGGCAGGAGCATCGCAAACTGCTTCGTGTCAGTGCTCAGCTGGAGAGACCCTGGCTCTTGTCTGTTCAGTCCCGAGGGACTGTGATGAGGGACTGACCCAGCTCTTTTGAGACCCGTGTACTGGGAACTTAATGGAGTCAACCTGTTTGCTGATCACTGATAAGAAAACAAGTGTTGAGGGGGAGATAGTTATCTCTGAGGGTACTGGCTATTGCATTTCCTAGTTTGTGGCCTGTCTGGGCCAACAGCAATCAAAACATTCTCATACTGTAGTATTCCTATAAAGAAATGTCCTTAGTAAACAGTCTTTCAGAGGTGTAAGTGCTGCTGCCCATGAATGACATCACTTCTGTAGGATTTTAAGTCTTTCCACCTCCCACAAGTAAAGTCTACTTTAAACCTGCTTCTCCATGACAGATCTTTGTGATTTTGAAGGGTGTAACACTGTTTCCATCATTGCTACATACTGGGGCCTTAGAGGAATAGGGAAAATTATTTTTCTCAGTAGAGAACTTTTCTTCAGATTACCCTGCTTCTGTGGTGCACCTGAATAATTGCAATTTTTAGCCTGCCTGCTGTTAAGAGGAAGATTTTCACAGCAACTCGTCTTGTGCAGTGGATCTTCATGCCAGTATAGATGTAAGGGAGCTCAAGTCTCAGGAAAGAACAAGAAAAATCTTTCCCTGAAAATAGTGCTTTCATAAACCATACTTACAGCCTCAGAGTCAAATGCGTTTACAACTCAGAGTATCAGTTGTTCTTGATTTTTATGTTTTCAATATTCATTTTTACTGCATAGTAACAAAGTGATAGAAGTTTTTTATATCACCAAAAATGGCTGTTAATAGGTCATTATTTGAAGCATGCTGGCCAAATTAAAACAATTTTTTAAAAGGCACTGATGAAATGGTGTGTGCTGTCCAAAAGGTGTAACTGCTAAGGAAAGACTGGTACAAGAAGATAGTTAAGTTGTGTGGAAATTCTGAATTTCCTGTTTCTTAATTCCAGTAATTAAGCGACAGGTTCTGTTCCATTATGGCTTATTCTTATAAATGAAAATACAAAAGCACTGTCAATAGAGCTTCCTACAATTTCAAAGGTTAAAGCCTGGGAAAATATCCTGCAGAAGACTCCTGCATTCGAATGGAATGAACCAGAAAGCCTAGTAATCAATTCTTGCTGTAATTTCCATTCTTACTGATGTGTCAGTGCCAAATAGTTCTTGAAAACACACAGCAATACAGCAGTAAGGCATTAAGTGTCTGATATGTTCTTCAGAGTAACAACAGTCTGAAATTGTTTGAAAAACGCTACTTGCATTTATAGTGCTGTATAGATATTGGGAAAAAAATAGCGGCAGACTCACCCAAGAAAAGGTTTAGTCTGAATGAAGTGGTGTGTAGAGGTTCCTACTATTTTGGATTTTTTGAGATTTTAAGCCTGTTACAATATCAAATCGATGAGGCAGCTGCCATTCTGCCAGAGTATCCACTACAGCAGCACTTCATGCAGAAGTTCCACCATGTGTGTCTGAATTTAAATGTAATTTTAAGATGACAGCCTTGGTGTGGCAAATGATTATAGAAAGATTCTATAATAAAGAACTCATTTATCATATTTTAACATTTTACACCTCCTTCTCTAGAATAAAACAGTGTCAGCTGACTTGGACTTTGCAAATCAGTCCCGCTGATTAACCTTGTTGCTGAACTCAGTCCATGTGTTAAAGGTGCCATCTATCTGGCAAACAGTTCACTCAAGGATAGTTTTCTGTAAAAGAATCTAGTTTCTTTGTTAGTATTCATAAAGCACTATAAAGGCCTTGTATAAAGGGTTTTTTATAGTTGCAGAATAGCGATTGTCATCTTAGAAATGCAGAAATACAATACCTGGAAATGTGCATTTGACAAGAAAGTGAAAAAGGCATTGGCTTACCTAAATTATACCTTCACATATATATTTAATAACCATTTTTATTGTCTGACTTTAAATTGTCTTATGTTCTGCTCTGAAAGACTCCTAGAATGTTGCATTATTATTTTTGTATTTCCTGTCTTACAAATCAGCATCTGCTTTAGAAATACCCCTGTACATAAAATAAACGTCTAAGTATATTACATAGAGAAATAATTATTTCTTTAGTGATAAATTCTTTATGAGTCTTGTAAGGTTGTTTGGAGCCTTGTTAGATTGTTTAGAGCATGTAAATACATGACATTGTGTCGCCCAGACAAACAATTAGTTCTTTCTAACAGCTGTAACATGCTAGAGGTCCCCTATTCCCCAATTCCCGCCCAACAATTGCAATATAATAAGTTGGTCTGTTTTCCAGCTGATCTTTGAGTAAAGCTTAAGAGCTATCGATTTGTTTTCATTTCTTTGAAGGTTTCTTCACTCTCAGCAACTTCTCTCATCCTTTTCCTTTCTTGAAGAAGAAATTTGAATGTTTTAAGCAGCATAGCAGCTGCACCCTTCTTTTAATTGAGGTTTCCTGAGCAAAATTGGCGAGTGGAATTAATTATAAATTTGAACCAGCTAATGACCACTAAAATGTACTGTTCTTTGTGTACAATATCACCTTCTTCAAATAAAAAATTCCTGCTAGGGGGATTAACTTTCAAGATAAAGGGGAAAAGAAGCCAGGGACAGTTGACTGGGCCATGCTCAGCTCAGTGGTCTTTTGTTCCTGCTTTATTTCTGTGGCTTCTGGATAGTATTGCTGAATACATTGTCATGCTTATACTCAAAACCAGTTTGATTTAGTGTGTTAGTGAGGATGCCTTTAAGTGACCTTAAAGAGGTTTACAGAGTCGGATGTATGCATGGAAGCTTTGCCTTTTCTTGCCCCTCCTGTGCTGAAAAGCTATGGAAATAGGTACAAGAGGCTGTATATGGAATGACTCTTGGAGAATTTAAAATAGAGGCACCTCTTCAGAATAGGATTAAAAATTGAAGAGGAGTTAAGTGATTTTTATAGAGAGACATTAGGGAAAAAAATGTGAGAAACAGTGAACTTGCTCTGGTAATTCTTTCATATCTCCAAAAACCGAAGCATAGAAAATACTAAAATGAGTAGAAGAGATTGAGGAATTGAAGTTCAGAAGTGAGAAAGGATGCAGAAAGAAGGTGGCAGGCAGGTGTATGAGAATTACATAAGGAAAGAAAATCAAGTAACCTTGGAGTCAAGGATAGCTCCCTGGATCTCTGCCCATGGCAGAAAACCAGAGGTTGACAAAAACGAAATGGTGGTGGAATTGTAAAAATGAGCTAAAGAGTACTTATGACAGTGATGTGAGCTGTTGCTAAGGGTGCAGTCTTTGAATAGGAGACCTGTACAATGGCTGAAGATGGAAGTCATTTGAATGTCATGAGGCTTGAAAGCCCATTGACATTTGTAGAGGAGCATTATTTTGAACTGTTTTAGCAGTGTGCTTAAAAGATAAACTGAGTTCTGCTCTTTGTCTCTTACTTAGGCTTTTGGCAACGAGCTGATCCCTCCCACTATGCCATTGAAGAAAGCAACAGTGTTCCTCAACCCAGCAGCTTGCAAAGGGTAAAATTCCCCCTTCCCAACACTCTCATTTGAGGCACTCTTTCTTCATTTTTGCTCTGCCATCCACTACAAAAGCCAGCCAGATTTTTGAGCTCATTTTTGCCTCCCTCTGATACCAAGCTGGCGCTATATAACTATGCCAAACTTTATTTCACCAAATATATTGGAATGAGAAATAGAATTAGTGGCTTGAGGTGAAAGAATGATTTCTAAACATATGTATATTTTGAATTTTTTTCTTTTATCCTGTGTTTTGGCCTTTGTCATTCCTTCGTATGTGGCATTCCTCCGTATTCCCTCCACACTTTTGCATGTGATATGTTTCTGCCTCAAAAGCTGTAGAAACAAGAGATGACCTTGATTGCTTCAAGACTTGACATTAGCCAGCAGTGATCTTACTTCTGTGGGAACCTGTCCTTGAAAGGGATGTGCCCACAAACTGAGAGGCTAAATATGGGCTCAGAGCAAGACTCCTGGAAGAGGTCTGCTATTTTTACCTGCTCATTAGCAGAAAACCTGTAATCTTGGATATGATGTGTGTCTGTTTCTGCTGATCAGCTCAGCTTTTTATCAGTTGCATTTTGGGAAGGGGCAGGGAGTTGTTAGTACCAATATAAAGGCAATAATATATCTGATGTGGAAGTGCTTATGTGCTTTTGTTCAAAACACACATGACTGGAAAATGCCAAGTATTAATAAAGCCTCATGCTTCTACTTGTAAGCAATTTATAGTTAGTGACATAATTATTTTATTACGCAATTAGAGGCAGAAAATGTATCAGTCCTATAACAAAAGGTCAGATAAAGTTTTGGTTCTAAACTTACTTAATAATATGTCTTAGTAAATAGTTGGGGTTTTCTGATGTTTCTGAAAACCTACATGGGCCTTCTTTGTGGTCGTGAAGCCTGGTGCTCTTTAAGTTATTAATTTTCTAATAAATTTCTCTTTTGGAGATCTTATTTTGTTTTGATGGATTTTTTAAATTATTTTTGGAGAAAGCTAGATAACGTCTTCTGCATTTATTAAAACTGCAACAAAAAAACCTGACATCTGAGATATGAGACTAGAAATGTAATACATTTGAACCACACGAAATCTCATCTTTCCTGACTGGCAGGTTGAGTGACTGATTGTGTAGATTGTATGCTTGGTTTTAAGTAGATTTCTTCTTGCTATTCATTTATTTCTTTCCTTTTTTAATTTCTTTTTAGCTACCAGACTAATAGTTTTTACTCCGTTATTTCCAGCAAAGCCAGGAACCTTTTTGAAAAGAATGCGGCACCAATTTTGCACTTATCTGGCTTGGATGTAACTGTGGTTAAGGTAAGAACTGATAGGTTCTGCTAATATAGAGACATTGTCTGCTCTGCTTTCTCCTCTTGAAGGATTGAAATTAAAATCTGTATGCATTTGAAATACTCAGTTGTCCTGTAGACATCTCATGGGAAGAAATAAATACTGAGATATTAAGCTGGTACTTAATCTTTTTCTTTTTTAATTCACAACTAATTTACAAACAGTATACTGAGATTTTAATTTTCAGCTAAAGCACTTCATATGCTTGTTTGTCTGTCTAAAGCAGCCCTTCTGTAATTCATATTTGAGAGAAAACTCTCCAAACACTTGAGTGCTGGCTAGTGGTGCGTGCCCAGTGCTGTTGAAATTGTCATTTCTGCCTGAACTTGCAGAATTCAGAAGTGAGGAACTTTGACGTGCAGTGGAACTGTTCAGATTAATTAAAAATAACCTTTTATTTTTCAGTGGAAATATCTCAGTGTCTCTCCAAATAATTCAACATTCCCATTGCACAAGCAGAACACTGAGATCTAAATGCTGTGAATTAACAGACAGGTTTTCTTTGGAAAGAGAAGAACAAATAAATATAAAGGAATTCTGATCTTTTTGCAGGTTTTTGAGGTTGCGATATGAGGATTGCTTAATGGTCAGTGAGTTCTAGCAGTGAAGTACTCTAATATGCATCTTTCTGTCTTGGAATCCTTTTCACAAGGTTTAGTCTTAAAATGCTGTTTTTATTAATGCCTTTCTCTTACCATTGAAAATACATAGTCCTACCCTAAGAGGAAAAAATTATTTTGCAAGACTTAAAACTGATGCTTGGTAGCAACTGATGAGTTGGCAAAACAGGGCTGGGCCAGCAGGTGAGGCTGAGATGTCTTCATAAAAGACAGTAATTTTTCAGAAAACAGTTTTCATAGTTTAGAAAGTCAGTGTACTCTTCACTATTAAACCCACAGTCAGCAGCTTGCTGTCGGGCCTTTCATGTAGCTGATGCTGTTTCAAGAGATGCACTTGAGCACTTTGGCTGCTAAAGGTGTTGGGAGTTTTTCTGCAAGAGCATGGTTGGCTTCGGTTTCACTGTAAATTTACCTGGAAATAAGATTATTGCTGTGATATGGTAGATGTCTTGAGTAAGATATACTCTGATATTTCATTTAACCTTTGTGTGTGTGTGTCTGTGTGTTTACTGCACATATTCTATTAGGCAGCAGCCTGATTTTGAAGAAATCTCCATGAGTGTAAGTAATATACAGTACTGTGTGCCTGTATGAAAATAACTATTAAGCAGATGGATAGATGATTCTTTTTTCTCTAAGAGAGATGTACTAGAAACAGCTGTCTGAGTTCTCACGTTTGGATTTCTGCTTCTTCAGACTGATTATGAGGGACAAGCAAAAAAGCTGCTGGAATTAATGGAAAACACGGATCTGATCATTATTGCAGGAGGAGATGGCACAGTACAAGAGGTACTGCAGGAGCCTGGTTTGCTGAGAATCGTAGTTGGGCTGCGAGTGAGAAGGTTGAGTCTGTGCAGTGTAGCAGCACCATAACAACTATTACTAGAGATTTGTCAAATTTAATGTCTGTGTTTTCAGTCAACGTTTTAATCTTCTGGAAACAGGGACACTCTGCTAGCTGGTGTTAATCTAAAGGTGATGATGGGAGTGGGGCAAAAAGAGTGCGTGATGTGTCTTCCAGAGTTTTATTCAAGAACGAGCAAACTGTCTGGAGAGACACGATTCTAACTTTTTCTTTCTGTGTGATTTAGTTGTAATGGTTTAATTTTCCAAGTTCACTCCTATCTGTATGCTCCCCAAGAGGAATGCATATTTGGCTAAGTGGGAATCAGATAATTTAAAAGTTATGTGGGAATGATAACAAAGCATGGTACGCATTTAATAAATGCCTCTTGTCAAGATGATTAATGACAGGAGCAAACTACCAGCAGAACTGGGGGATACTCTGTTTTTCAAGTAAGACTGTATTTTGTTCGAGCATTTCCTGGAATGCTAACTACTGGTTTCATAAGACAATGGCTAAATGAAATGCAGTGACCTTAAGAGAAAGTGGTCAGAGTACATCTGCAAGTTCCTCCTGGCCTTTGAGTTGATTACTGTTAATTGCAGTGGCCAGTGCTATTTTTGCATTATGCAGAGCATTATTCAGTGTTAAAACATTTACACTGGCCTTGGTTATAGTGCCAGCATATGCTCAGGCACGCTCATAACCCTGCTGTTTCCACCATGTTTGCACACTGAACATGCCTCCTTTCCTGTGTAAACAGCCATAACACCTTCCATGAAAGAGTAGCTGCTCCTTAAATCTTTCCAAAGAGTAAACGTGGTTAAGAATTTCATAGCTTTCTACTGTAACCGAAAAATAAAATCCTTGGAGCTGAGTATTTCCCATGTTTTTCAGGTCATAACTGGACTTCTCCGCAGGGCAGATGAGGTGAGAAAGTGTCATTTTAAAAATTTTGTGCATTTCTTAGAGTGTCTTGTGCATCCACTGTGGTCTCTTGGCCTCAGCTGTCTTCTGCAGATACGTTGCTTCCTAATCTGGAGCCAGCTTGCTGCGTACCAAGTCAGCCCTGCTGGTGCCCTGCAATGCTGCCTGTTGTTCTTTGTTCCCATTCTAAGGGATGCAATGGCTCCCAAACCGTGGCTTTGGGAAGTTTCCAGCATCAGAGCAGGGATTGTGGAGAAGCCAAATGCTCAACTTTCAAAGACCCATGGACCAGCTGTGCATGCCACTTTGTTTGGCACAAGCGTTGGGCGAAAGTACATGTTTTTCCTGTATTTGTACAGGCTTGAAAACTAATTCAGTTTTGGTCACACTCCCTCTGCTTTGAGATTGCTCTGCTGTTTTTTCAAGCAGTGAATATCTACCTATGCAGATGGCTGCACTAAGCAAATTTTAACCTCTCAAGGTGTATCACTCCAAATGGAAATGAGGGAGATTTTTCTTTTTAAAGTGGGAGGACAGTGTTATTGAAGAAAGGAGGGAATCATTGTTCCCAAAACCTTCTGGCAGGAACTGGCAAAAACTCAATTAAATGATCCAGATAAGATTATGATGATACCCTTGGCAGCTAGAATTGTATCTGTTTAGGCATTTGCTTTGTCTGAATGTGACAAGAGGAACTTTGCAACCAAGCCAGCATTTTTAAAGGTGGGCTGCCTGTATCAATTCTGAGAAATCAGTTTTTTAAGTTTAATATTATTATAGTTGGCTCCCGAGACCTCTATAATCTGAAGATCATGGAAGAAAAGTTTCAGAGGCTTTACTGGCTAGTTTCTTTTCTCTATTTTCTGACTTACTACCTCGATGTAGCTTGAGTCGTTTTGCAGCAGTGTAGGAAATTCTGCATCCAGCACAAATACAGGTGGAATACTGCATTGTAGTATTGCCACTGTGTCACTTTGTGTCTTTGGCCAGGGAATTCTTCTTGTCCTTCATATCACTGTGTCCTAGGAGTAGAGATCTGCACTTCAGCCCCCTCTCTCTGTGCTCTGCTTCCCTTTCCACTCGGGTATGTCATATCTCTGTTGCCTGGATAAGAAGAACCTCTGCAAGGTATTCCAGAAACAACGTTACTGGCAGCCAGGGGAGCAGAGCTTGACTGCATGAGCTGCAGACAGCCTCTGATCTGCACACTGTAAAACAGCTCTGAGGAAAATGAGGGAAGGATGTTTGAGGTGCATTAAGACTCGCAGGTGACATGGAGATAGCAAGGGAGAATGGTGGGGCAGTGAGACAGGAATTACTGAGTCGGATTGGCAGTATCCCGGTGCTGCTGGCAGCAGTGCCCAGGAGGGAGATGGTACAACTCTGATATATGGTAGTTTACAATGATTTGCTGACATGCTTCAAGAAGCACAGTTTATTACAAGGCACAGTGTAATAACTTGCTCCTTCAACAAGCCCTTTTGCTGAACTGTGGTATAGAAAAACAACATTGTCAATGACTTTCAAAAATTAGACCTTCTGCTGCTTCATGATTTGGGTGCCAGCGGAATCAATTGATTTCCTTTCCTTAAGTGAGAAAATCTCTTTGCTATGCAAGGTTACTCTGTCAGAGGGACATTTCTGCAATAGTAATGAGATTCAGAGCTTGTGATGCCACTGTCAGTATTAAGAAAGGTGGCAGATTGCTGACAGAATCTGTGCATTAGTTGGGATGTGGCTGCCAACTTGCATGTAACAATGCTGTTAATGATTATAGAGAGCTCCTTTGTACCCAGTTGGCAGTGGTGGATTCACAGATTTGGATGCCATGTTCTGAGTCATTATGTGTTACTGCCTCGTTTAAGGAAGTGCCTGGCTGCTCAGTGCCAAAGGGGTGATACCAGACACAGCTGTGATCTCCACACAGGAACTTCCTTCAGCTGATGCAAATGTTAATTTAATCTCCTCATGTGTCCAGGCTGCCTTCAGTAAGATTCCTATAGGATTCATACCTCTTGGAAAAACCTGCACTCTGAGCCACACGCTGTACCCTGAGAGCACAAACCAAGTCCAGTAAGTATTACATGTTTCTGAAACATATTTTTTGTTTTCAAGGAGTTCTTGGTAGCTTGATACTTTTCTTCTGTGTTACACAGAAGTTGGCAGTCTCTGGGCAGAGCCTGACAGTTCTCTGAACTTGCCTGAGTTAATGACTTCCAAAAACTGACTAAAAATTAAAAGAAGGAAATGTATGTATTATTAGAACATGATATAATTTGCTGTGGCTAATTTCTCTGTGATCATGTGATGCTCAAGTTTTTTTTTAAAAAAAGGATTAAAAGGATCAGCCTCTTAGGAATAGCAGAAAGGGTATGACAAAGATGTAGCAAGAATATGACAAAGTAAAACAAAAATAAGTCCTCTTTCTGTCCCTTCCCCAGTCTAAGAATTCTTTAAACCAGTCTGCATATAACTGGGTTAGCACCTGCAAAGTAAGGATTAGTACAAGAATATGGGAAAGGCTGGATCCTATTACTGAATTTTGCAGAGTGGGACTGGCTTTTCCCTGTGGTGGGACTGATGCTGGCAACAGTACAACAACCTGATTCTTATGTTTAGCATCCTGGATATGATCCAACCTGGTGGTATCTGTTGCCTGCATTTCAGTTTGTTTGCAAGATTGTTTTGTCCACTTCTAAAGTAAAAAGCCTGGTCAGCTTATCTTTCTTTTCCCCACACTTCATTTCTTTTTGATTGTTCCCTTCCTCTTCTCTCATACTAATCATATTTCTTCTTGCTGCTGAAATCTCTTCACTCTTGCTTTCCCACTAACTCATTAACATTTTTCTTTCTGGAACCCTTGCTGGTATCCATCATCCATAAAACCCATGAGTCAACTGGCATAACATCCTTCATTAAAACTACCAGAGTGCTTTGAAGCTCAGCAAGATGGACAAGGCTGTAATCAGCAGCTAAGATTAAAATAATAATTTATGTTTGGGTTCTAAAGAAGCTGTTTGAAATGGATGATCTTCTTGTCCCAAGGTAATGAACTGTGCAGGTGAGACTGCAGCATGTTGGTGAAGTTGAAGGTAATTTGGTCAATAGGCTGCTTAACAGTCCACACCAGTAACACAACCTGACTTAAAAAGTACAGAAGTGATATTTTTAAAAGAAGTATTTGGGCTTTGGTTCCTTCAGCAGTCTTACTTTGGAGTGTAGGAATTGTAAAGGTCTTACAGAAAGATAAGAGTTAGGAGAGGAGAAGGGTTGTGGGAAGAGCAGCTTCCTTATCTGTCTCAGTATTGTAATCCTGATGGAGCCAAGGGCAATTTCTCCCACTGATTCACAGGAGTATTGGGCTGGATCTGAAAACTGCATTTTTTCCTTGTCCAGCTGAGACACTGGAAATGTATGCAATGTGGAATCTGAATTTTACCCAGCTTTGAAAACAAAGAAGGAGTTTTAATCAAGTATATGCTTCAAGGTTTGAACATAAACTATTTAATGCACTTAAACACTTTGATTACAAAATCTTTACAGGTTGAAATGACAAAGTGCCTTAGCTACTGCCCACAACTTAATGGAGACCAAAAGGACAGGAGCACAGCTGATAGGTAGATTTATGTTGATTAAAAACTTCAAAACAAATTAGCATACTAATGCAGTTCAGTCCCAGACACATGAGCTGAGACCAATGATTTGGGTCCTTAGTGTGTTAAGTATCTGAAACAGCAGGTAACACAGTTGGCATATGATCTGCCAGGTTAGCTGAAGAGGGAGGAATCTGTGAAAAGCTTAGGCTGAGAATTTCCTTTTGCTTTTTGCCTATTTTGCTGTTTGTTAGGACTCAGGCTTTGTCATGTGTTGCAGCCACTCATTTTGCTTTCTAATTTCAGTGAAGTGCAGCACTTTTCCCCAGGGTTATTATGTTTGCTGAAAAAAGGCCCCACCCGGACTTGTACTGGAATTTTCTGTACTGGAAAAAAATGTAATTTTAAAGCTTACTCATTTCCTTCCTTCCTGTTTGTTTTCCTTTGCCTTTTTTTCCCCTGTTTGTTTTGCAGACATATTACTAATGCTACACTGGCCATTTTGAAGGGAGAGACAGTTCCACTTGATGTCTTACAGATCAAGGTAAAAGCATCAGCTTTTTTGGAACTCAACATTCCTAAAACTTTCCTATTCTCATGTTTTTGTGTTTATATGGACTGCTTTTCCTCTGCGTAATGCTGTTACAAATTTTGTTTTATGATATCAGCAGTTCTGATGGCAATCATTTCTCCACTGTGACATCAGATAGTCTAACTGGGAGAAAACAGCAGAATGCCTGAACATCAGCTTTTTTTGAGGCTCAGAGAGTATTGATGAATACAAAACTTAGTAACAGGGATGTCTCTGTAGCAATGTTGAGAGACAGCAACAGCTGTCTGAGCTGATTTGGTGCATTCATATGTATTGTGCCGTTAGTAGCTTTCTTTGACAAACTGGAAAATGTAAAACAGGAAAACCTTTGGCTGTGCCCTGCATGGTTTTTGAATATTGTTTTTCTGTTACGTTGTAGAATGGATGTTTCTGCAGTGAGAGTGTAGCATCACTGTGCAGAGCTCCTTGCTCTTGGCTGGCAATATCCACAGAATGAAACGGCCAGTGCAGTCAAACTCAGTCTACTTCTTCAAAATTTCACCTCTTATATTCCTCTCCAGAGCAGACAGGATGTACAGTGCTTAAATTCTGCTAAACTTTATTGCTGTTAGGTGTTTATCGTACCCCTTCTGTTAAATGTCACTTTTGGGATTAATCAGAAATCAGTTTTTATTTAGAAATGCTGTTTTTCCGACTGCAGAAAATAAATTTGGAAACAAGGTAAGAGAAAGTAATTTTGCAATCCTTATTTTTCTTTACAGGGAGAAAAGGAACAGCCTGTATTTGCAGTTTCTAGTTTGAGATGGGGATCTTACAGAGATGCAGGAGTTAAAGCTAGCAAGTAAGAAAATACCATTTTTGAAATTGTGCCTCTTTTAGCATCTGTTGCCAAAAAGATATAACCCCCTCTCTTAAGTAAGTCTTTTTTTGAGTGTAGGCATTTGACAGACAGAGGCACCCACTCTTGTTAGGTCTGACATTACACACATGGGAGTGTAAGATGTATCAGCATTTTTGTAATTTAAAATAAACACTTATCTGGTTGCTCGCCTGTTCTTTTAAGTATTTACTTTCTTCTTGCCTTGTGATATCCGCTTCTGGAACTTTATTCAGATCATAGCAGGGGGAAAATCTCTCCCTTGAGTAAAGTCTAAGTAAAGTAATTGGCCATTGTTTTTCATCACTGCCAATGAAAAGGTGCATGTGGACTCTGTAACTCAATTCCAACAAGGGACATCAGATAGATGTAGAAATGCCCTGAAGTTCCTGCTGGAAATGGCGTGGACTGTGCTGCCTGATGACTGTTCTCTGAATGCTAAACTAATAATTATTGGGCTTTCTCCAAAAGGACATTTAACATGCCATGTCTGTGTATCAAATGACAAGCATTGTCTGGTGAAGGAGCAGCAGTGCCAAAGCAGCTCACTTCCCAAACTCTTGTGGAGGGAACACAGCACATGCCTCGGGGGTGCAGCTGTAAGGAAATACCACGTGCTTTGTGAATGAGCCATCTTTGTCAGGAAGGAAGAGGTAGCTGACCTCTGGAGTCTGTCTGGCAAATATTTGAGAGGTTTGAGAGGGGATGGGGGAGATGCAGTAAACCGTCAGGTCCCTGGGAAACAAGGAACATTCTTAGTAGGCTGTGTAGGTGCTGACTTGGCTTTGCTGCAGTCTCTCCTGCAGCCCCAAGTTCAAGGAAGTGCACTTCCCTTTGCTCTGCACTCTGATTAGGCTTCCTGCCCATGCCCTGTTTTTTGCCTAGTGCCAGCCTTCACATCTTTTCCTGCAGCAGTTCCCTTTTTTAAGAGTCTTTTGGACAGAGTGCTGGAGGCATAACAGCACCTCTTGTACGTGAGGCAAGAATGTTTTCTAATGCAGAGAAAATGCAGAGAAAATGTGCCCAACTTGGAAAGCACTTCAGCCACAAATGAATGGGTGCTCAGAGTCTGCTTGGAACAAGAACCATGTGTGCTTGTCCTGTTTTTATAATTCTCCACTTCATCTGCTTTTGGTCCCCGTGAGGGATGAGTTATTGGGCTAAAATAAACATTTGGTGTATTCCAGTACAACTGATCTTATACTGAAAAGAAGGCACCTATTTAAAGGGAGTTAAGCTGTAAAACAAAGTTCCAGAAATTTATCTGACTATCCCTCTGCTAAGCACTGTCCTGCTGGAGACTTGGTGCTGATTTATGTCATTATTTTACAGACAACTTCATGGCTTGATGGGAGTGGTGGACAGTTGCACACCTTAGTAGTTAGTGATAGACTTAGGTCTGCAGTACTCTTGACCTGATGGTGTTTAATGTGCTTTGCTGACTCTGTTTGCCGGAAGACAGTGATCAAAATGTGCACCAAACCTGCCTAACTGTAGTCACATCTTTGGATTCTGTACAGTTTGTAGATTCTACCAGCTGTGTGGCTGATCGGATTTTTATTTTGTAGAACACTGATGTTGATGTGAGAATCCCCTGGGACAAACGAATGTTTTCTGGCTCTGTTCTTTTGTCTCTGAAGCTTTTGATTTTTGTTTGTTTCCTCCAGCATAACGCTTTATTGCATATTGTGGAGGTGCAAACCACCAGCTGTTGGACCACAGGCCTTTAAATCATCCCCGGTTGTGTCACATAACTAGGTAAAATTCTGCTAGTGAGATGTCCTGCTGCCTGTAGTGAAGATTATACACTGCATTTTGATGATCTGTAAATCAGGAAAGGGATGTCACTGCTAAGCTGCTGGTGATGTGTAGAAACTATCTTACAGTATCAAAAAGCTAAAAGTTATCAGGGAGCACTAACTCAGTGGCAGACAAGTCTGTGTGCTCTGACTGCATGCAAGGTTTCTCCCTTTCCTGATATTGACCCCTGGATATCTTAGAAGGTCTGTTTGTGTTCTCTTTTCAGGTACTGGTACCTTGGGCCTCTGAAAACCAAAGCAGCTCACTTTTTCAGTACATTTAAGGTAAAAATTAATTGTGAGGAAAGTGTATGGGAAATGAAAAGGCTGACTTTGCTTTGTATAATTTATCTGCTAGTTTTTGTGAAGGATTCTGGTAACAATATACAATGGGAGTGAAGCTGGACTTGTTAAAAAACCTATCAATTGATAGACTTACTTCAGAAGAGATGAAGGGGAAGAGAAATGATTTTTTAAAAATTCCCTTTACTGAAGATCCGTTGCTGCAAGATCACCAGGGGGAGCCAGTAACCCCCTGTGAAACTGGTGAGCAGCAGTGGTGGTGAAGATAAGCACCAAAGAGCTCAGTCACCTTTTCTCAACAGCCTTTCTTGTGATAACATTTCACTCTGATTTAATTCACCTGGCAGAAGGGTCTATAATTAGACTGCTCATGCACATTGATAAGGCTTCTTTGTGTGGTAAAATGAATGTGAAGATTAATAGCTTATATCTCACCTTAAACTTTTCTGTTGCTTAAAATCCTGGAAAGATTAAAATTTGATCTGCATGAAAGGTGAGACAGTTTCACACACGTGCTTTTCCTGTTCTCTGAACATATAAGGATCCTAATGAAAGGCTGTGGAAATACCCAGGAGCTGGTACAGTAAATCAGACTGTGCAGTCTAGTCATGCTGTCTGTGATAGTGCCAATGATTCTTTTATAGGAAGCTCCTGTAAAAGGGAGTTTAATGGTAATGTATCTGTGAAAGTTGGGTTGGTTTTTTTTTTTTTTTTTTACTCCCCCATCCCCAGGAAATTGAAGATGATGATTGTGTACTGGCATTCTAGGTGGAAACCTCCTCTTGATTTCTCTCCAGCCCCTTTCTAACTTTTGTTGAGTCCTTAGCCTCATCTATGGGCAGTGATAGTGGATTTTACTGGTGAACTATTCACTGTGCATTAAAAAGATCTGTTTAACCTGCTGAAGGTTGAAGTGGCCACTTTTTCTGATGTTACAATAGAAAAATTCCTACCTGATCTCTCCTAATTGTGGTATTTATTGCTTTGTGTGCTTCTTATGTTATCATTGTGTTAATTTCTATAAGAAGTGGCTCCAGCCTGTTGAGCTTAATCTCTTCCTGGCTTGTCTTTGCTGCTACACACTTCATATTTTCTGGTTTTGCTGTAGCTGTCTATTGAAACAGGATGACCTGTAGCTGAAAAAAGTGTAATGGGAAAGGGCTCACCTCTGGTATTGGTAGGGGCATTGTTGTTAGTGTTATTATCTCTTCTAAAATATGCAGGCTTAAATTATCACAACATTGCTGCTTTTCCCTTTAAGCCTTAATATTTATTGTTTGTGTATTGCCCTAGTGATACAACCTCTGTTTGTTCTCTTTATTGTGTAAGTATGATAGTAGACTCCTTCCTTGCTTTCGGAGGTGTGAAGTGAATTAGCTTAACAACCTGTGCTGTATGATCCAAAACTAATTTTAAAGTTTTGTGCATAGAAAAATAATTGTATTGAGTTCATGTGGGCTCTTGGCTGTTTTGTTTTACTATATACATTTAAAATCCTATTAAGTGATTCCCTCCCTTAGTCCTATGTTTGGAGCATTTCAGAAATTATTTTCAAAACGAGAAAAAATATCATGAAGAATAATGTGTTAGTACTTTTTTCCCCATTTTTTTTCCCCTAACATGCTTTATAAAGTACACCTGACTTGCCTTAAGACCTGTTGCACTGCTGTCTGTAAGCACCTGACTATCAGATCAGATCTGGATTGTTTGAGTTGTTGGAGAACAAAGGCCTGCCAGGTTTCAGTGCCCCTTGGCTGCACACAGAACTGTCTTTGTCTGTTTGCACTGGATCCCGCTGTGCAGTTGCTCTTTGAGGTTCCCTTGTGCCATGCAGAGACCAATTGTACTTTCAGACATTAATGTTGACCTTGCTGGTTTTGGTTGTTCCCTCCAGCCAGAAGCAGCCGTGTCACCCTGCCACACATCAGCAGCAAAGAAAACATCCCTTTGCCCTCTGCTCGTAGAGGGAAAAATGCCTCACTTTGTGCGGGGAAGGAGTAGGTTAGTGGACTTGGGGACTCTTTGAAGCTGCAAAAAATGTCATCTCAGGTATGAATCTGGAGGCTGGAGACCACAAAGTAGGCTGAGGCAGTGGTAGGGCCTGGGTAGATCTCAGGAGTACTTGGGAGCACAGAATAAATAGGCTAGAGGACAAAACAGGTAGGTGCTGAAATGCCTTTATGTTCTGTCTTTCCTTTTCATGTAAACTCAAGGAGTGGCCTCAGAAACATCAAGCTGCTCTCATGTATGTGGGTCCAACTGAGAGACCTCCAGAAGAGCCAGAGGAGAAACCATCGAGACCTCCTTTGTATGTGAGGCTTTACAGACGGCTTCGCTCATACTGGTCACCTCCAAAAGGTGAGATGTGTATTTTGGCACAAACTCACAGGCAGGTTCTACTCCTCTAATAGACTAGGGGTGTGTGTGAATGTCTGCTTTACTTTTGTGCTCTTTTTTAATTACTATTATTTATTAATTTATTTTTATTAATTTTTTTAAACTGTGATTTTGTCAAGATACTTACAGTGGGGAAATGGAACAGAGTAGTCCTACCAGTGCTTGTGGTCCCATAAACAAAGATCCATTTGCAAAGAACCCAGGGCATTCCCTGGACTCACAGTTGCTTGTCATTGCTGTGGAGGTCTCCTTAGGGAATACTTGGCACTTTTGGGTGAACTTCTTGAAATCTTCCAGTGGAATGGCTTCTTAGTGAGCTGGTGAGAGAGGAGCAGCCCTTGTTTTCCAGGGTGGGGAGAGTTGCTGACACAGAGCAATGAATGTTACTTAAAATAGAACAGTAAAATTTGGGCCATGCAGAAGCCCTAAGTTTCTCATAGTACATTAAATTTCTTTCTGTATCATAAACTTTCTTCTCTGTGAGCCTTTCTTGGGTGGGCTGTTGGCTGGGCAGTGCACCTGGCAGAGCACAGAAGGAAGGAGAGTGTGTATGTTGTGCAGTCTGCTGTGATGCAAAGACCTCATTTCTTCTTGGCTGGCAGAGGTGATTCATACAGAAGCATGAATTAAGTGACCTGTGTATGAGAACTGAACCGGGGAGTTTCCTCCTATAGAAAATACATGTTACTACAGCATCCTGAATATCAGATTCCTGGTTTTTTGGTAGTGGCACTTCATGTGTTTTCTAAATGTTCCTGTAACTAGCGCAGGAGATCTGTTAATCCCTGGGCATAAGGACTCACAGGGCTGTCGTGTACTGTGCTTGACAGTCTTTTCTGCTACTGTGTGAATGCTGATGCTATTTTTTTCTTCAGTACTCCCAAGCTCCCTTTTCCTTTTTTAAGATTTTTACATTTTTAAGAAACAAAACTAGTGGCCACAAAGGCTCAGAGTGATTTTTGTGTCTGGCATTGATGTTTCATGGTTCATAATGATCAGTGCAGTTGAATTCCACTTAATGATTGATATCTTCTCCTCTTAATATGCAGAATTTGCCCGGGAGGTAACCCCCGAGGACTGGGAAGAACTGAAGCTCTCCACCATTGAGCTTTCCATTGCAACTCGGAACAGGCAGCTTGATCTAACAGTAAGACCATAATATAACTGGATTCCAAATGCTGGCTGGCCACAGAGTTTTCCTTTCTTGTTAAACTCCCATTCTTGTGTATACATAAATAAAACTTACTGCCTTGTGCAAGGAGAGGCCCATGACTGAATCCAAGAATGGGCAAGTTTCAGAGCCAGTGTAAAAGCATTGGAGATGGATGTAAAACTGGGATGCCGTGGGATCAGGAGGAATCTGTACAAGGTTTTCACTAGCCAAACAAGTTTTAGGATTGCCCATGAGAAAACAAAGCATCAAAATAGGCATTCCGTTCCTTCTTCACCATGTGAGAGTGATTCTGTCTGATCAACTGGTGCTAGGAGGAAGTTGAACCTGAATGTCTGGCTGGAATTTTGCCTTTTTTTCTCTTCTTTTGATTTGCAGAGCAAAGAGTTAAAAAGAACTGGGACTAGGGAAATGACAGGGGCTACACTGATTTGAAGGAAAGGAAATGCAGTTGTTGTGGAAGAGTAGAACCAAGGCAGCAAAGGAACTGTACCTGTCATAACCTTCTCAGCTTGTTCATGCTGTCCATTAATTGTTTTAAAACCTGTCTTTAGCTTATGCCTGTGTTTTGGTGCAATTTTACTGCTGTGGAAGCTATTTGAGTAGATGTCAGTCTTTAGTTTTACTGGAAAACACTAACACAGGTGAGCTTCCCTTCATGTCCTCCTCATGGCTGCAGGAAACCGTAGCCACTACACCCAGATTAACAGGAGGCGTTGAACTTCCTGCAACATATTTCTTGCTCAGAATTTGTCTTTAAGAACATGAAAATCTGAGTTACGCTGATACGTTATTTTGTAGGATCAGAAAAAAAAATAAAGCAGGCAAACGTAGTCTTAAAAATGTTCTCCTGTTTTCTCCTTATAATGTAACACATGAACTTTAGTTTCTCATTCCTCAGTGGCTTATGATTTGCACTGTCAGTGTCTTAGTAATGGTAGAAGCAAGACAGAGACTAGTATTTGGGTATTTGGGGTTTTAGTGGTTTCTAGATGGTACTTGAACACAAGAGTTTTGGTTGCTGAACTGGATTGGAGTCAGTGATGTAAAATAAATACAGACCTACCAAGAACTGAAAAAGTATCTGTTTGCCACAAACTAGCCCTTATGTCTCTTCTGTTGTTTCATTGGTTTGGGGTTGTTTGTTTTGTCTCCTTTATGTCTTCAAGATGCATTTTAATACTCACTGGTATTGAAAAAAAGAAGTGATGTAGGGTTCTCAGGTCTCTTGCATGGTTTAGAAAAGTGAACAGGTTTATGTAAGGCAAGTTGTACTTCTCTGTTTCTAGATCTGGAAGTATCTTGATGCTGCATCTTTTTTTTTATTACACCTGTGGACCCCTTGCATCTGCTTATAACTCCCAGTCTTGAAGCCGTTGTCCCTGCAGCCATCAAAGCTGAAGAGCAGCTCTCTCAAATCGATACCAGGCCATATCTGCTGACTACTGTCAGCCACTCCTGTCTCTCTGTCTCACCTCAGATTCATGCCTAGGCTGCCCTCTCGAAGAGAGCTGATAAAGCCATACAGATGCAGCTCAGACAGTGCCAAGACTACCTCTGCAGAACAGCAAATAAACTGAGTTATACTAATAGATGCATTTATTTTTACTTTTGTCATTTTGATTGCATCTGCACTAGGACTTCTGCCAGGACAGAAATGTTAAAAGAAATAAAAAGAATAAAGTGCATCTTAATCAAAGATGCTTTCCTGGAAAAACCTTTACTGTATACTCAGTTTAAGAGCAGGCTGTAAATATGAAAGAAGCTAAGTAAGGAGTTTAAAGGATTGATACCAAGGACACTTTGATTTCCAAATTGTATTGTTTAAAATTCTCTTACTGTAGTGTTTGGTGGCCAAACGTTGTATCATTGTACTATTGCTGAAATTCATGAAAGACCCACTGAATAGAAATAAATTAGTAAACCTAAGGGGTCTGCTATTGTCTTTAAATGTAACGAGAAACCAAATGTGTGACTTGTTATTTTGCTTCTTGTGGTATTTCTTTGAATATTCATCAATGGGAAAATACTGTCTATAATTTATAATTCAAATCTCAAGTTGAGATTTGAAAAAAAGCATGAAATGCAGAAGTGCATCTTCTGAGTCCTTTTGTGGGACAAAGGACTGGGCATTGTGTGAACATATTGCAGTCTCATGGGTGTGGCATTTTCAAATGTTAACTGCTTGATTTCTGAATCCTTTTTTGCACAGCGCACTGAGGACTTCATGGACATTTGCATTGAAGCAGATACTGTCAGCAAAGGAGAGTTTGTTCACAGAGGGTGAGTGTGGGAAGGCTGCAAAAAGGTGACAGAATCACTGTGTGAGTGGTAACACAAATCCTGAAAAGCTGGTTTTCTCTAATCTTGTGCTGCAAAGTTCAGAAGCAGAAGACAGCAAAGGACACCAGTCAGTAGTGCTTCATGAGGATTAATGATTTTGTTCTTTAAAATTCTTACTCATTTTCTGTAAACAAGGCAGAACTCCAGAACCTGGAGTGTCAGAATCCAGGACCTGGAGTTCTTCGTAGCTTCTGAGTTTACTGTACCTTTCATCTTTTCCCATGTTGCTCTAAGTCAGTACTAGTTGTATATTACTGTCATAACCAAGTTTTATAGACAGCCATGCAGACTTATCCCCAGAATCTTTTAGCCCTGGCTGCTCAGTGGATTGAGAAGTGGGTCACAGAGCTGATAACATTTGTACTAGTGATACCTGGAATTTTTGAACTGTAATTAGACAGGTCCTGCTGGCTAAGGGAAAAGCTTCCTTAACTCAATAACTCTTGTGAGAAATTAGGTCTGAGCTGGACGAACTGTTGGAAAATGTGCATTGAAACAGGGACTTAAGGCAAATGTCTTGGTGCTGCTTGTATGTGGAGTAAGAAGGCTGCAGGTATGAAGAAGAAGCATATAGAGAAAAAGTGAATGTTGTCTTGTTCCTCCTGCTCTCACCAGATGCAAATCACAGCTGTCTTTTCCAGTTTCTTCATACAGTCCCACTCACAAATACATTGCGTCTTCAGTGCAGTTTTTACCAGCAACAGATTTTCCTGCTAAATCCAAGAGTACTTTTTATTTGTTTTTTTATTTGCTGTTTTTTAAGTCTTAGAGCTCCCTCTAGTGAAATCTGTGGGAGGATTTCAGCACTGTTTGTCATCACCTTAATAATTCCTGCTTGTATCTCTTGTTTATGATACTAATGGCAGCTGCAGGCCCGTTTTTTGGGCATCTCACAAGCCTCAGTGGGAATAGAATCTTCTTACCTGTGCATACACTGTAGGTCAGGTTACCCTCCTGCAACTGCTTTTAAGTTGCATGAGCCATGTGGACCATAGGTTGCTCGGGACTGAAATCTTTGAAGGCTACAGAGGGAAAGGAGGAGGAGGAGAGTCTCCTATTAGAAACCAGAGGAATCTGGTCTCCTAAAGGAGGGAGACAAAGGAGATGCTACACTGGGTTCTCAAACACTTTGCTAGTGGAAAAAATATAGATGAACTTGTGTGATTTAAGGGAGGCCTATCCAAGTGTATTCCCACTGTAAATAATGTCTCCCATGTCGACTGGACATGCTCCATGCAGTACTATGGCATATTTTCTGACTGCAATTTGAGTGTCGTGCAGAAAAAGTCTCTCATGAGCATTAACATTGCCCTGCTGTCTAGAGCTAATTAGAGGCAGTACCCAAAGCTTTGAGCTGCTGTTCAAGCAAAGTTCAGAGAAAGAAGCTCTTTTGATTAAATAGTGCCCAAAAGTCTACAGGTGACAAAGAAAGAGGGGTGTATGGGGTGGGGGAACAGCAGGAGGGACTGGTTAGTTGTACAGAGAGGAGTCAGATAAGAAAAAATGTGCCCTGTTTGTGTAAGGCAGAATCAGGGTGTTCAGAGATCCCACAGGGCCTTTGGCAGCGTGCTTTGAGTCAAACCCATAATCAGAGGCTCCCCATTGTGCAGCACCTACAGGATTTGTCTTTGGAAATGTGTGAAGAAGCTCCTTCTTTTTTCTTCTCTTTTTAATGCATAGTTTAAACTCCACCAGAATTTTGGGGGGGTGAAAAGGTGTTTAGGGAAAATACCTTATTAGTGCAGATATCAAGGTTTTTTTATATTGAAGAGGGCACTGACAGGAGCTGATGAGAACTGATGGATCACACAGAGGAAATTACACATCCAGCAGGAAACTACCATGGAGGTTCAGGCAGTGTGTGTATGTGGGGATGCATCAGTGTGCTGGAGGGCAACTGCTGATAGATTTCAAAGAAAAGAGTAGGTCATCCCAGGTGTATAGAAGTGCCCTCTGGCTGTGGATCAGATTTGTGTGAACAAGAGCATTTGCAGCAAGGGTAGAGCTGATGTTTAAGATAAGGTGGAAGAAGAGGTGGTTACGATGGTGTGCTTACTAAGAAGTGCTGGAGGGGAGGAAAGCAGGGATGGAAAGTGTAACATCAGTAATCCACATTTTGTTAGCCAGCTTAGATTCTGTACATGAAAGTTTTGAGAGCTGTCACTCCAGAGCATGAATACAGTTACCAGCTACAGTGCAGAAGACTGGACTGTTTGGGGGTTTTTTTGTTAGAGGACTTACTCTGAATCGTTAATCATTTAACATTGGCCCCTTCTGGACGTGAAAACTAGGTTACAGTTGCGTGTTCCATGCAGTAGGTGTTGTGGTTCTCTCTGCCTGTATTTTTGTGATTCAGTGGGATGCAACAATCAATGGAAACTGTTGCTGTTAGACTTTTCAGTCTTGTTCCTATTTTACATTGCTGTCATCTTGAGCAAGGAGCAGAGTCTAACGGAAATGAATTCTGATCCTTTTATACTGGGCCATCCTTTTATACTGGGTCACTGCAAGTGGAGTTGTATCTGTTTGCTTCTACCAGTGTTCTCCTTTGACCGATCTTTGTTTCTGTGTCTTGGCTCTTTTGTCTTGACCCCATAATTGCATCTCTGTAGAGCTTCATTTGCTTTCATTGACCAAAAAAATCTGCTTGCTCACCAGAGTGCCATATCTAGGACCTTATATGTTAAACTCCAGGCAGGTTAAACTTTAAGTGGGTGATCTTGCTGCTTGTTTGTACAGCACTGTATAAACTGACAATATTGCATGCCATCAATGATTTATGATTTATATTGCTGGAGGATGTTTAATTCCCTCACAGTCACTCATCAATCTTTTATTCTATACATATTTGATTAAAACCAAATTTTCCACAGTTAATATTGCTTCCGTCCTTCCCTGCCCTTTCCTTTGGTATCTTTGGTTTTCTTCCTTTGACTTTGATTATCGTTTCCTGTTTCAACCCTTGCTTGTCATGCTCTTTCTCTGGGGTTTTCTGTGATTTTAAGAATCAGTTGCATTCCTCTGGGCATTGAAGACTTGGTGTATGGGGAGATTCTGACATGTTTTTGTGAGTTCTTTTCTTTGGGCAATATTTAAATAGACTCTTTCATGTCAATCTACGAATAGATGCAAAAGCTGGGGACAGCTGGCATTGCCTGTCAGAGAAATATCTGTGATAATTCTGCCATGCTTGAGAGCTGTGAGGTATTAACACTGTTATTCTCTGCTGTCCTCTTTGCTATTTGTGTGTCTGAAGAGGGGTCCAAACTGAGAGGTTACTGCCTGGGGTGCAGTGACCCTTTGTCAGTGGTCAGTCAAAAGGTGATGCATGTTGTCAGTCAGGAGGCCAGAGGCAGGTCAGCACACCCAAGAGCTTGTGCTCACTCTGCAGCAGCACACGTGGGGAGAGGGAATCACAGTGCCCTGTCCCTGTAACAGCTGATGCAGTGACAGGACAGCATCCTGAGTCTTGGAAAAGACCCCATGGCACTTGCACCACCAGCTTTCTAAGGCAGGCAGCTGCCTTCTGTATGCTCCCATTTGATATCCACAGAAGTAGGAAAGAAAGCAGCATTCTCTAAATACAGTACATAAGTAAGAATCTTACAGGCACCATGAGAGAGATATGACAATACTGGATATGCTATTTAGAATGGATAAAATGATGAGTTTCTGGGGGTTTCTTCACAAGAATTATATAAAAGCAGCTGTTAAGAAATGTCATTCTGATTGGTGCTGATGTTAAGAGTGGGGTTTTTGTTTGGTTTTAGATGGTAATTTAGTGTTTCAATATAACTATAATTCTATCTTTTTTTGGCTTAGGGTTGTTTAGGTTGCTGGTAAGTTATGTGGGTGCATGGGATGTGAGGAGACAGTATTCACTGCAGGAATTGAACGGTTCAGCACAAAACTCTGCTCCTTTTTCAAATATGCAAAACTATGTTCAAATATATTCAGTGAGCTCAGAGCAGAAGCTGGGTGCAGGCTGTCAGTGCATACTGATATGTATTGACTGCAGCAGAAGAGGGAAGGTTTATTTTACTTTCTCACAGTTAAACCCACAAATATTTGTATATATACATAACCTCTAAGTTTATCAAATGCTTAGTGTTTTATCACCCCACAATGAAATGTCATCCCTAAAGAAGGCTGTTTCCTTTCTCTCTTTCTGAGAGAAACACGTCCTTACCTTACCTCTCTTTTGGATTGAACAGAAGTCAAAAGATCCGTGACCCACATACGTGTCCTGAAGGGAGTCAGTGCATCCAAGCCAGCAGATGCATCTTGCAACTTCCAGAGGTGAGACAAAGACTTGGAAAACTTTGTCAACTTATTTCCTTGTACCCATTGATGCTGCACATTAAGAAATCCCTATTCCAAACCTGGGAGATGGATTACACTGCCAGTGAGACAGGCAGTTCCACAATGCAGCAACTGAGTCCCTGGCCAGGAAACACATACTGGAGTTCCCCAGCTGCTCTTTAAACCTGAGGGAGAGCTTCATTCTGCCAGTAAATAGCGGCAGATCTTTTATGAAGACAGTGATGATGGTTGTTGAGGATATTGCATATACACAGGAAATTCCACCTGAATATGAGGAAGAACTTCTTTACTGTGTGAGTGACCACAACTGGAACAGGTTGCCCAGACAGGTTGTTGAGTCTTCCTCCCAGAAGATACTAAAGAACTGTCAGGATGTAATCCTGTGCTTTAGGATGAGCCTGCTTGAGCAAGGAGGTTGGACCAGATGATGCACTGTGGTCTCTTCCAATCTGACCCATTCTGTGATTCTGTGATATGCAGATCTTCTCCTTAGCACTGAAGACATGTACATTTTGCCCTAAAAGGGATTGTGCTGTAGAGAAGAAGATAAATATTAGAAACTTTATGGAGACCAAGGAGGGGGAGACAAGGCAAGGGGGCTCAGATCAGTATAAGGAAGTGCCTCAGAACTCTGAATTGATGAGCCTGAGAAAGAAGACAAAACTGTGCCCGCCTGTGTAATTTAGATTTGTCTTTTTCTGCCTCTGGGACAGAAGAAACTGTTATTGCAGCCCTGGAGAGGATAGTTTCTTGTTTTTACAAGGACATGAAATCAATCTCCTAGATAATTTCTATCTTCAAGTGATCTATCATTTGGCAAAATAATTCCATATTAAGGCCGAATAGAATGTGCCAAAAGGTGAAAAAAATCTGTTGCTACCGAGTGAAAATCCTGAATTATGATGTCATGATTAGCCAGCATCAAATGTAAATACTTGCATCAAATTCATATCATGGCAGTTTTGTGATTCTGAAAGAATACTCTGGAGAGCTGGGCTAAGTATGGCTGAGCCATAGAAAAGGATTGAGATATAAAATGAGCTGTTCATCCTGCGGCTGCTGCTCAGAGTGTGTGTGCGTGGCACAAAGCAGTGCTTCTCCACTCCATGACCCAGCACCGATGAAGGAACTGGAGGCAGCTCAGAGGAGTCTCACCAGCTTTGCAGAGAAGTGGAATATGTTGATCCAGCTGGACTGCTTTGCTGTACCTGTGACTTCCAGAACCTATACTAGTTTCTCTAGTCTAGAAAAGGCTGTTCTGGTGTATGAGTTCACCTGGAGTTAGTTTGAGTATCCACGTAACACAGCCCTCCCCTGAGTCCAGTGCATACAAAGCAGTCACTGAATTTGTTTTTAGGTAAAGTCAGCCTGCCATTTTGATGAATGGTTTTAATCACTGGTGACTTTATCAGCGTTAAAGAAAACACTTAAGAAAATTCTACTGATGAGTAATTCCTGACCAGTGAATTACTTTGCATCTCATGTTTCAGATCAATATAGTGAAACAATACCAAAAGGGGTTTGTAATATGGATTTAATAGGAGTTACTTAACAGGCACTTCTGCAGATTAGGTTGTGTCACCACTGGCAGACTAAGATCTAAGTGCGTGTAATTGAGGTTCCAATAGCAAAGAATCCTTCAGTATAAACAATGTGGGTCATTAAAGCTTCCTAGCATTTAATTATCACTAATTAGTAACTAAGTGAGGCAACGTCTTACGCAACAGACTCTTAATATAGTGAAGGATAGCTCTCCCTGTGTTGTGGAGAGCAGATGGGCTGGAAGGCACAGGGATAGGGGTCATCCTGGTTGAGACTCAGCTAAATATTCAGTTGTAATCCATTGGTAAAATCGGGTATCAGCGTTACAGCATTGCTGAAATAACATGCTTGATGTTTAACTGTTATGTGCACACAGGGCACTGAGGGATCCTTTGGCATTGATAATGAGGAGTATGAAGCTATGCCTGTGGAGGTGAAGCTATTACCCCGGAAACTCCGCTTCTTCTGTGATCCCAGAGTGAGAGAGCAGATGCTCCATGCAGCAATACAGTGAGAATTCATTTCAAAGGGGCCAGTGTTTACTAGTCTTACCAGGGTCTCTTCAAAGTGCATGAGACCTCACTAACTTGATTAACCCCAGCAGACTAATAAGCCTTTTGGCTATTTTTACGCACAAGGTACTTCCATTGGAAGTGGATGATTTGACCGGTCTCAAAGGGGTTAAAAATGCAAATGAAAATTCTGAGAAATGCATGTTAATTTGATGGCATCTTTTTTTTTCCCCCTCCCTCCGAGAAGTCATCAGTGTTCCATTTACAGCACTGCAGGCTGAGTGCTGTGTGCCAGATGCTACTGCTGTAATGCCATTGTATATTAAAGTAAAACGAAAGCACACTTGTTCTTGTGTTCTAAGAGTTTAGGTCTACTTTACCCATGTATAAATCTGGAAAAAAATTTATTTTGGGGGGAGTGATGCTAAGGAATTCTATGAAGTGTTGGGATTGCCACATTAAAACAGGTGGTTTGTTATCTGCTCCGTCACAAAATAAATTGGAGATTGGTGATACCAAGCTTCGGAGCAAGTTTCAAAACTCCCGATATGTATCTGGATGAGATATTTATGTCAGCCTTTTTCATCTTGCCAGATTCAACAGCACAGAGTTCCAGTAATAATATAGTAGAAATATATTCCTTTGATCAAGTTTAGGCATATTACACAGAAGCAAATTGGAAAACATCGTTGACCCAAAGCTGTATGAGGTACATGTGGAAAGACTCTTTAACAAGCTGAATGAGTCTTTTTTTGTAAGTATTCCTTTTATTCCTGTAGTAATATAACACAAGTAAGGGCATCCAAATAATTTTTATTATTCATCGTGTCTGGTTGCTCTCCTCTAATGTAAACAGTGCTCACCACTCCTTATGCAATCTATATCCCCTTGAGCCTCAGTACCTTAATTAGTTTTGTTGCTTTTCTGAGCTTTTGTTTACAGCTTTGCTTTAATTGCTGAAAGGAAATATTATTGACTTAGGCAAGGTTATGTGTTGCCCTTCTTATTGTAGCTTATAAACTCACATGATTCTACCTTGCTTACTGGAAGAAAAATCATCTTTATTTTTCTGATGTGATTGTTGCTTGTCTGTAGTCTCTGTGTTACACTGTGATGTAGTCTAAGTTCATCTGTTGACTCCTTGCTGTATTCAAAATACGAACATTAGTGAATTGACTTCCAGCTGCTTTTTTAAGGACTGCATCCTGGCTACATGCTGCTTCACTAGCATCCTCTGCTGGAGACTTCATAAAGGAAAAATGCCTTGAAAGGGAAAGCAGGGTTGAGTTTCTGCATGATGCTGGAACTACACTGAATGCTCTCCTTCCATGGACTGTTCTGTGGAGTAACTAATTACCTAAACTAGATGATCTTTCAAGTCCCTTCTAGCCCTAACCATTCTTCACTAAGATCTCAGGGAGTAGAAGCCTGCTACTTCTTTTTCATAGTTATGCTGGTGATAGGTCCTGTTTTGTGCTGTCTTTCTTTTGGTTTGCAGCTATTAAGAGTGCCCAATGGACCCCTGAGTCACTCTCCAAGGAACATGTTGGCTGTGCTCTGCTCTTTTTGCTTGCCACAGAGACACCTGGGACGTTGCTCTGCAGCCACTGGCTCATTCAGAATCAGGGACAATTCCCACCAACAGTTTTTCCTCAAGCTGATATTTCTGTAATAAAATGTGTTTTTTCCTCAAGTGGCAGGAAAGACAAGGCAGCAGCCATTTCAAAAAGGTAAGCTTTAATTGTATTAAAAAATACCCATGTTTTTAGTAAGCAGTTTCTCTACAGAGCCACAGGCCTATGGGAGCAACCACACATCTGCAAGATGCAAACAACATCAGAGCTGTTAGAACTACAACCAGCCTGCTGCAAGGAGGGAGATGATGAGAACTAACTCCTTGTTCATCTGTACCATTTTACAGGGAAAACAGCTAGTTCTCTTCCATAGCATCAGATACACAGCTCCCATTGCAATGTGATTCCTTGCTTGAGGGTAACCAAGAGCTCCCTTCAGAATTGGTGTTGTTAATGTTGTTCTGATGTTTAAAGTACCAAGAATCATCTGAGACACAGGCTGATATTTAAATATTCATATCAGCATAAGTTGAGTACCTTGTATAAATACCCTTCAAATAATTTTCCTCCTTCTGCAGTTCAGAGTTCTTCCAGTAAGGGGTGGTTCTAAACCTCTAAACTGCAGTGTTCAGAGGGAAGGTGTGAGGCAAACATTACATAAAATAAGCCGGGGCTGAACCCGCTATCTACAGTGTTGAGGAAAGGACTCAGTTCTCATGTTTCTGTCTGACAGCAACACAAAAAAACTTTCTTTGTACAAACTCCCAAGACAGGATGGAGGAGTTGAATCCTAGGTCCCACTAATGAAAACACCCTGGCTTAAACCTACAGTCCATTCTAGAAGGGTTTAAAATACTGTAACATAAATAAAAAGGAAGGATAACAACCTAATAATGGACCAGCCCAAGGCACCTGTTTATTTTTACCACAATTAAACATTCCCATTTGAATGGCATGTTGCATTAGCCAGGACCTGAAATCCTAGTTCACAGGCATTTAGTACCACCTGTTTTAGACAGACAGATCACCCTGTTAAGTCAGTACATTTGACTCCCTCACAAAGGGCATTTATGTTGTCTACTCCCATAATCACTACACCATTGGCTTCAGGGAGGTGGAAAGAAGACAGCAACTAACTTAGAAGTAAGGGCTAGGACAAGAGTTTGGGTTAGTGTGCATGCTTTGTACCTAGACTTTTGTGTTAGGACAGAGTGCTCTTGCCCTGCTATTCCAGAAACCCCTGCCTTTCTACCTCCCAGAGTGAAGCTTGCCTGTCCCTTGCATAGTCTGGCACCAAGAGGGCCACAGCTACTCCCAGCTTTTTGTCCATTAACTTTGACGGTTCTTAAAAAGGAGGAAGTATCACCATAACCCTGCTTTACAGAATAACCTGTACACTAAGATATTTTCCTCTTGAAAACAGGGGCAACTTTCTTCTGCCCCTAAGGGTGCTGGGCAGGTGAGCTCACCTCCTGAGACAGATGACCATTAGCTCCTAAGATAAACTGCAGTAACTTCTTCATATATGCTGGAAAAGAAGGTCTGTAAGAAAAATCTGAATTCTGATTCCATAAAGTGCCTTTCTTCTAGTATCCAGTATAGTTCTTAATTGGCTCTATGCAGCTTGGCCTAACCTTGCAGTGAGAAGACTTTTGGCTGATTTAAATGTCTGGCATGGTATCCCTTGTTCAGATTGAAAACCTAGTTTTTACTTCTCTCCCGAGCTTTACACTTCCATCTAGATAGGACAAGTAGTAATAATTCATTGCTCAGTGATACATTCTTAGTGCAACTTGAGTTAAGATACAGTTATGAAGCTCTTCTTCTCCTGGTTAAACTCAAGGAAGTACCAGCTGAGAACCTGCAATGGCTATGCCAGACTCCAGTTTTGGAAAAGAACACACAGGACTGTCTGCCAGGGCACAGGATACACCTGGTTACTGTAACCACCATTCAGCCTGGGCTCTGATCACAGCAACTAACCAGAGGTCTTACACCAAAGAAACAAAAGGCACCACTGTAAAGGCAAAGTACTTTGAATGGATGATTTTATACTAATCAGCAAGTTTTGCCACACTTTCCTCCCTCTTTTAATTCAAAATACACCAGATAACTCTCTCCCTTCTAGCTGCTAGTGTTCAGCAAAGCAACTATTGAGTTGCTTTTTAAATGTATTTTAAATGTCTGCACTTAACTGTTTTACCTTGAATTATGCTATCCCCCAGAACAATAAGACTCACTTAAACTGGTTCCATGCAAAACCAGCCTCATGAACAGGCCTTCATGTCCTAAGCTATAACCATTTGTTTGTATAATGTACCCACTTATCAAGCATTTTCCACGTGCAACAACAGTAAAAGCAGTGTCTTTTAGAAAAGGAGTGCAGGTGGAAAGTACTTTTGCAGCAAATCAAATAAGGATGTATTAGGAGAGAAAAGTCTTTTTGTTCTTTTTTCTGTCAGGCAACTTCCTGACTTCTGTAGCAGTCACCTGGCAAGAGAGGCTTGGTAGAGAAGCAATATTACAAGGAAGAGCAGAATAGGCTATAGCCATCCAGCTGGATGTAGCATGTGTGCTACTTCTACAGTAATCTGCTTGCTTTGATTCTTCTGCACCCATAATATTGCTAACAACTGAAGACCCAATTTCTGGCAAACAGAGGTTTAATAAATGTCAAATAGTAATTTCTGGAGGTTCTGCTCGGTGGGGTCTAGCAGTGCTGTCTACTTCACCTCATGTTCTAACAGTTTGTGAACATGGTGCCCTAATGCAGGGTTGTTAGAAAGCCTCTGACTGCAGTGGCTGTAAAATTTCAACAAGTTTAAGGTTTGTGTCTATTTAGTTTAGCAAAAGAACTACTGACAAAGAGAATAGAAAGTCATTAACAGTTGACCACAGCTAAACTATGTAGCAAACCTTCAAGAAAGCGAGAGAAAAAATTGCTAGAGACTAGTTTCAGTTCCTTTTTTTTTTGATATCTGAAGGAAGTGACAGCAATGCACTGTCAGCTATATTTCCTCAGGGATCGTCACTGCAGGCAGCAGGTTAAACCTAAAGTGGAAGTTAGAGAACAAAAGCTTGAAGATTGTGGGTCACTTTTATACTTGAGGTGTCAATTTAAAAACAAAGCCATTTCTTAAGGAAAAGAGACTGGTCTTTCCAGTAAGTGATACTCAGCTGTTTTTACCTCTCTCCCCATTTTTTCTCTGCAACCTCCTAAGGATGATGATGTTACAGTTGTGAGCAATTGACAAGCAGCAGCATGTTTTCTTCTGTACAAAAACATCCAAAGCCTTGAAAAAGCAGGCAGGGGAGTGGCTGCCCAGAGACAGGCAGATCACAGGAACATAATATGCTGAAGCTCATACCAATGAACTGTGCAATAAGCCTTGTGAGGCCCCTGATCCCACACCTCACTAAAACTCCACAGCAAACAAAACTACCCCCTTGCTGCAGACAGCCTTCAAGGAAAAACAGGACACACCAGCCTCCTCCTTTCCAGAGGGAAACAATCCACAGAGGTCTACTTGGGGAACATTTGCTCTACCTGTTTTAAAAGATGCTCACTTGCTTTAAAGTGGGTAAGACTTTGGTGGTTCAGGCTCTGCCTCATCCTATAAATTGCAAGGACAAATAGATATATCAGCTACAGTTTGCATTTCTACAAACTGCAGAAAGCCTCCAATGGTGCTGAACTCCATAATGGTGGAAGCAGCAACTAATCAGCCACAGTTCAGGAAGAACAGTTAGCTTAAAGGTGATGCTACTACTGGCTGAAGGATTTGGGACAAAGCAGTATGGCACACTGGAACCCACAGTACCATTCTTGGATTTTGCATGGCGATGGGATTACTCTTTACTAGGACAGCCTTCCTGGAGGTAATGACTTGTCCTTCATGAACTGAATCTTATTCTTTCCACAGCATAAAAATAAGAAAACACTGTTCATCTGGTTCTACACTTCTGCCCAGGAAAAAGAAAGACTTGCTGTTAGACATTGCTTCTAGTGGCTGTGCCAGTTAAGAACACCAGAATCCAAGGGAACCTCCTGCAAACCTCGAAGCTGTTCCAGCTGAAAGGTCACAGACTGCTCTCTGCCTCACACCAAAAGCCAAGGATAGCAGCAGGCAGTGCTGAAGGCTCAACAAAAGGAGGATCAGCAGACAATGTTAGAGCAAAGGAGTGGCAAGTACCATCAGCTACAAAGGAAGGGCTAGTGACATTAGTTAAAGAATACTTATTCTACCCAATCCAGCCAGCACCATCTGAGCTGAGGCCAGAGAACATAGTGACTGCAAAGTGGCTCGGTGATGTTGGTCCCTGTTAAATGGGAGACTGTCTTGCTGGTTTGAAGATTTTAAACCAAAGCAGCAGGAGTGATGCAACTAAAACCCAAAGGAAGTGGTAGGGTGGATTAAGTAGAGATGGTGTTCTTCTCCAGCTTGAGATAGGCAGGTGCAGTCTTTGCCAGTTTTTACCACCTCGGGTGCTGGAAGTGAAACGGTGCTGCTCCGGTAAGCAAAGTCATGAGATCCTGAAGCACCCCCAATCCCAAACTTGCTTCTGCCATTGAGGAGGAAGGGTGGCTTTATTCCAGTTCAGCTGCTAGAAGTTGGGTGAGGAATGATTAAAGGAGTCCTGGTTTTTATCATTGGTTTAACTGTCCCCACCAGTAAACTTGGTAGGGGACCATGAGACTGGGCCATTAACAGCCTGCGCCCTCTTCAGTCCCCAGGTGGAAGGGGGAGTTGATAGGAGGGTTTTCCAGTCAAGTCTGAAAGCTCAGCTATAGCATTTCACATTGGTTGTCATCAGACAAAGTGCTTTCCTGAAGTGTTCAGTCCTCAGGTATCCAGGCTAGGGCAAAACCTAGCTATCACTGCCAACAGTGAGGATTGGTGCAAAGGTGCCACTGGTCCTAGCTAAACAAAACCAAAAAACACAAATGAAAGAGAAAGGGAGACAAAACAAACAAACAAACAAACAAAAGCCCTAGAGCAAGTATTCACTGGGAAGTTGAGGGGGAGAAAATAAAATCACATTTTGTTCTAAAATTATAAATACTCTCCATATAAAGTTATTAAATAACTGTGACTGTGGTGAGTTCCAGTGATCCTCCTAAGCAGTGTCTGGTAGTCTTAAAAAAGTGATCTTTGCTCCTCATCTCTCTTGCCCTTGGTTTAAGTGCAGCAGGGGTTGTCAATGACTAGCATAACATCAATGCCATACACTTCCAGCAAGTCCATAAGGAAACTTCGATCCCCTTGGGGATCCAGGCCCATGCCTCGTGCGTGGTCAGCTGTCAGTGTCTTGTCCTGGCTGGCTGACACCTCCATCAGCGTCTGAAATATGCGGTTGTTCTGCTCCATGAAAAACCTGTAGGATAAAGTCAGCGAAGGTGATAGCATTGGACCTCTAGAAATACAGCATATTTACCAAACAGGCTGCAGAGCCCCAGAACTGCATTTAACCCCCTTTAATCAGAGATCCCACCTTCTTGGGTGATGCTGTAGTTTTCCATTCCCCTATGGATGACCCAGAATAAACAAAGATAAAGCAGTAACTTTTCCTTTACAGTGGTGTTTCCATCTGGTTTATGGGAGGCATCTCCCTCCTCAGAATCAAGCCATGTTATCAGCTAACATGTGCCTTGTGGTCACCAACTGGGTGAATCAGACTTACAGCTCCCATAATGTAAATGAGGAAACAGTGTTGTCACCCATCTAGTAAGCCAGTGGGTAAATGAATTCTCCTGGTGAAAAACACACCACTGAGAGCTACTTCTTACCTCCTGCTTTCCTAGAAACATGCAGGGCTATTCAGAAATCGCTGTGACTGTGTCCCTGCAGCTCAATGATCAGAGGCCTGCCCCAACAGCCCTTCACACAGTTTCATCCCATTACTTCTCACCTGGTGCAGACTGTGAATAGCGACAGGCAGTGAAGGGCTTCACAGGTGGTAGATGTGTGGTCTTCATCTAATTCCGTACCTCCTGCTCTACACCCAGTTCTGGTTCCTCTGTTTGCCAGGTACAATACCAGCCACATCAGTGGGCCAATCCTTCACATGCAGGTCTTATCTCCACACCATACCGCCCCCAGCATGGTACAGTGCCTCCTTCCCATGAACACTGTCCTTTCCTGAACCAAATGTTCTGGCAAGAAAAGTACTATAGTGCTTGTTTTCAAAAATGGGAGGGGATTCTTATATTTCTGATTGTGTTTTTAAAATTCACTTCTCCCTCAGCACTTAAGAGACCCTAGTAAATACTAATACAGCTGCATTTGGCTTCTCAAAAGGAAAGGAAGATGATCTGAAGAGGAACAACCGGTCTGGTTCTCAGAGAAAGAAAGCTGACTATGGAATTATGTTACACATGATGTTTCATAATATGGCAAACCAGTGCAACATGAAATCACTGCAAGAGGCTCCCTAAACCTAACAGAGACCAAGTATCAAGAGGTAGCCACTCACAAGATGAAAAGGTCCTCTTCACAGGAGCTGCAATCCTCACCCACTTCTTGAGAATACATTAACATCTGCCTGAGAGAAGGGAGACACATTCATTGCACAAGTGAACCTCAAAGCATTATGTGAAGACCAGAATCTCCAAGAGATGAGCTGAAGCAGTGGAATACTTGGAAAATACTATGACAGGGAAGAGAGTACAAAGGAGCAGTGTCCTCTTTATCCCACATCACACAGCTCTCCTTTCAGGATCAGGACCCAGACTTCAGTTATTACCTCTGGTCGTTGAGCCGCCGGTACTTCTCCTTGTCAGCATTGTTAATTTTCAGGAGTGGCTGCAGATGCTCATGATGCGTCTTCACGTTCTGGTTGTCCACATAGACATCATAGAGATCCCGTTTCTGCTCAAAGATCTTTTCTGTTGTACCTGCCAAAATCAGAGGAGATTTTCAGAGCAGCACATTGCTTTCCCAGCAGACCAACTGTTCTTGCCTGCTTTCATAGTTAGTCATTCCATGCACAACCTATTTCTCATCAGTTTTATTCCACAGTCTGGTGTCTCAGCCTGAAGTTAAAAACATCACACCTAATCCATCATACTTACAGGCCACGTATGATACTTCTGTCTCCAGCATTTCTATGTCTGCCACATTCACATAGAAGAATGGTTTGGACTCTGGGACAGTTCCTCCAAGACCAGGCAGAGAAACATTTGCAAGGCAACAGCAGCAATACACTGCGAACAAGAGAAGTACATCCTGAGATGCTTCTGGTTTTCCCTCAAGGGCAATCTGAACCCCACTTACCCAGCCCTCCTGCACACTTCTATGAAAACAATGGTTAGAGCTCTGAAATGCCCCTGAACACCAGAACTTCTCAAGTGACAACATCCTGTTTTGGATAGGAAATAATTGGTTCTCCCATAGGAATCTCATGTTCTGGATTCCACAAATTCAGTCAGTGCTCTTATTGTCCTGTGCTAATAGGAACTGTGTTTGACAGTGCCAAATACGTTCTTACTCAAGAGGCCTGAAGAAAAGCATTTTGTAGGAAAGGCTTAAATGCAGAGTGAACGGTATCTTTGTGAGGAATGGTCACAATGCATTTTGAAGACCTGCATGATGTCTACCCCCTCGGTACCCACGGGCATTTCTGCAAGGCTTCAGCCTACTAGATCAGAGCTCTGCAGTGTCCCTGGAAACATACCTCTATAGCAGACAACTCCAACTGGGGGTGGTGAAAATATCAATATGCGCTTGCGCAGCAGGGCAAACTTCCAGAGGACAAGGATCTGCTCACCGAAGAATTTGATGAACTGAGACATACAGCCAGCAGGGTGTGTGATCTGCAGGTGGAGGGAAAGGGAAGAAAACAGCTCAGAGGTGAAACAGGGACACATGCACAGATGCTAAGTCTAAATGTGGGAGCAAGACCAGCACACAGCTTGTAACAGTCCAAGTAACAAAATCTTATCTAAGGCAGCCTAAAAAGCGCAGGAGTGACTGCTTACATAAAGACATATGAGACACCAGCAAGGAGCAGCAGCACTCTGACCACTCCTGCAGGCCTCAGAGCACCTGCCTCACCTTCATCTCTGGGTACATGTATCTGTGGATGGAAGGCAGCCAGTGGACAGGTTGCTGAGAGCCGGGGGTGCCCTTGCTGTCAGGGAGAACTCCTTTCTTGTCATCATAGAACGCCTCTAGATGGGAGTAGTGCCCTGGCATCTCCAGCTGGTGTCTGGAAAAGAGAGGAAAAAAGGGGAGATCTGTAGTGTCTCCAGACTATTTATTTAGTGCCTTGCCCTCAGCCAACATCTGATCTCCCAGCCAGAAGGGGTTCTGGGTGCCTCAGTTGCACAGACTCATCCAGGAGGGCAGACAAAGCGTCACGATTAACCAGCAGCTTTCAGTGCAGCCAGAGAACACGGGCAGGACTGATGCCAGCAGCAAGCTCGTGTATGCACAGTACTGATCCTGTTTTAAATACACTCAGGTAGGAACAGCTTTCTTTTCTACCATCACCATTTTCCCTGCTAGATCCACTCAACACAGCTGAAGTACACAACTAGCCAGGATTACCATCATAAGTTTAGAAGCCTTTTGTAAGCCCTTAGTAAAATGGTTTTTGGAAGGAGAAAAGGGGAACTTCTTGTCCTCTCATCTCTCCTTGGGACAATTATGTCCACATAAAATAAGTAGGGCTTGGGTAGCATTTGACTAGCCTGTTAGCAAAGAACAGACTGCTGCTAATTGCTCCCTTATCTCCTTCACCTTGTGAACCTGTAGGACTTTCTGGAGAAATGGTCATTCAGGGAAATCACAGCACAGCGTTGTAGCCGAATCTCACTCAACGCCTAAAACCGCTCTCCACGGAGGCTACGTTACCTCTCCCAGGCCAGTCCCATTCCCAAGGGAACTTACCTGACCTGGTTCTCCAGGAAGTGCATGTACCTATACAGCAGGGTGTAGGAAGGGGAGAGAATCCCCACGGACTTCATGCGGGCACCACGCTCTAACTCACTCTCCACAGGCATGTTGGCAAAGCAGGCCAGGCCAAAACAGAGCCCTTTCCGGAAATAACTGGAGACAGATGTTTGACAGAAGGATTAATGTTAAAAAGAGGAAAAAAAGGAGAAAGAAAGGTAACTGACTGCTAAAAATACTGATTTGGGAACACAGTTTCTTCTTTAAGGATTCTCCTGAAATCCCACCCTGCTATCTGAAGGGCTGAGGACAGGTGCCCCAGTCTTCTCAGGAACAAGACAGGATATTTAAGGCAAGAGTGCACTAAAGCCCCTACCACACATCACAGGCCAGTAAGGAATGCAAGTAAGGAAATAACTTGGAATGAAGACTAAAAGAGGATGCACAACTCAGTCAATGCAGTGCCCTTCCTCCAAGGAAGAAGCCTGCAGTCGTGCAGTTCTGAGTACAGTCTAGCTACCTACTCATATTTTGGGTGCTAGCACATTGAAGCACACTCCAGTTGACTGCAAGGGTTCAGTTCATGCGCCTTTGAGAAAGTAACTGTTCTTCCTGCCCAAAAGGAATTGCGACACTGCAGTTCGTTGCAAAACATTGCTGCATTGCAACACTGGGTTAGCAAAATGCACAAAGTTCCTATGCCTTTCTGCTGAAGGAAGGAGCTAGCAAAGAAAACAGTAAGCAAGAACTGTTTATCGGAACATTTAAAGGATCCAGAAGCACTGGCAGAATTAAGAACCTTTTTCTAAGACCTGTTTCTGCAAAATCCTTCCCATTCCAGTTCTGCCGTTCTTTCCCCTTCTCCCTAGGCGTCTGCTGACAGTCCCAATAGTGGCAGTGCAGTGTAATTTGCCCCATACACATTAAAATTTGCACCCCACTGAGAAGCTGGCCTGTCCCATTCACCAGTTGGCCTCCACAGCCAGAGCTGTCACACAGCAGATCCCTGCATCTAGCTGGTACTTAATACGGTGCTGAAAGTGTCTGAAAAGTACCTTTGGCTCAGCTAGAACCAGTTTAGCAGCACATTTATGCAGGAACTTAACTTCCTGGATGGTATTTTTTCTTGCATTTTCTGAATTAAGGGATGGTGGTGTAGATGTGCAGCTAAGAAAAGTAGTAACATAACATAGCTCAAACATACTCACATGAAATCTGACTGGATTTTGTGGGACCCGCTTGCCATGGATTTGAATTCCACGCCTTCCAAATCTATATCTTGGGGTAAACACCACTCCACCATGTTACCTGAAGAGAAGCAAAGTTATTTGGGTAAGCTTGAATACAGTACTCATTTCTAAAGTGCAAAGAGCATCAACAGCAGGTTGTTGCTTTTATAACACTGGGATGCCAGCAGTGTGCCCTAACACAGCTCCTGAACTCCTAAATTGTCACAGACAGTAGCTGACGTACAGTACTCCACACCTCTCGTGCAAACTTGTTACTGTTGTAACTCAGATATTGCAGGATTTTTGGGACCATTTCTGAAGCTGGTGCTAGACCGGGGAGCTGTACTTGATAAGCTTAATCACAGAGCAGCTACAATTTTACCTGACAGTGGATAAGCTTTGGTCTACATGAGTATCCCATACAGAAAGAACCCAAACTATAGACTGCTGCTCTTTAGGATGAGTTTCTGTGGTAGCTCACACCACCACCAGTACTGTCCTTTGGCTGTGCTTGGCAGGGCTGGTCAAACAGGAACCCCTAAGCCATCATCCCAGTCATCACTACTTCCCTGAAATCTCTCCTATTTTCTTTAGGATAGGAGATGTTAGTTGAAGCTTTATATGGAGGCTGAGGTGATCCAGGTACTGCAATGTGTTTGTGTATGCTAGAATAACCAAACAAAACAGCACATAAACTACAAGCTAGATCAAGATTAGCAAATATCTGTCACCTGCCAAGCCAGCCAGAAAGCATGCAGTTGTTCCGGGGAAAAGGCCACCTGAGGAGCCTGATCCTGGAATAGATGATATCAGAGAAGTCACAGAATGTCCCTAAAGCAAATGAAGTCCAGCAGCAAGTTTACCACAGACAAAAAAAGGAGTGAATTCTCATGCTTTCCTGTGCCAGCATTTCAGAGCCTCACCTGCTTACCTGGGCACTCCCACTGCACTGAGCTGTGCTCCGGGGTTACCCACTGAGTTTCTGTTCTCTGTCAGTCTGCCCACAGCATTTGAAATAATGTGGCTTGGTTTTAAAAACAAGGCAAACAAACATTCTTCAGTATAATGCAGTGGCAGATGCAGCACAAAGGTGCTTCCTACAGGTACAGTCCTTCCCCTGCCCTTTGGGGTGAGCATCCCAGCTGTGCTTGCACCAACAGCACATATTTGGAAGGGCCTTACACTCAGCTGAGACTCTTGGAGATATCTGAATATGAGGCCTCATTTCTGAAGCCTGTCTTTTGTCTCATTACTCATACTGCACAAGTACATGCCTGCATTCTCACACAGGAATTGGGCTTAGCTACTGACATTTAAATAGGCTATTTTTCTTCACACATAGATGCTGTATTCAGCAGACCTCCCCCAGCCCTGCCTGGCAAGGACTTCAAAAAAACCCAGCAGCGTTAGGCATGGCAACAGGAGAAGTTTGCATCCAACCAACCACTTCCAGTGCACAAGGAGACCTCTCCCGCAGAGCCGGGCTGGCCGGGGAGCAGCAGGAGCCTCGTGACCCCGAGCCCCGCTCTGTGCGATCACACGCGAAACCACAGAGCTCTGCTGTGAAGCGCCTTCGCCTCTGAGGCGTGTGAAAGGCTGGCAGGGAAAGCCAATGACATCATGTCAGCCTGCGCGGTCCCCTGTAGGTTTTGCATATTATATATAGATGGTGGCTTTTGTTGTTTGGGGTTTTGTGTGGGGGTGGGTTTGGCTTTCTTTTTAAAGGCACAAGACACTTCCTTGAAAGAGTGAGGAACTCAACCTTCGAGACTGACTGTTGCCTCTTAGCCACAAAATTGTGGTTCAGGCCAAGATCTGCTTTTAAGCCTTGCACTAGAGAGGATCACTTAGTGGTAGATTACCTGTAGATTAACAGATCGATATACAAGAGTGCCATCAGCAGCAAAAGAAATTGGCTTTGCTCAGTTTAGTCACAAACACTGTCAGGTGTCATATCCACTGCAGAGGTGTCCAAGTGGACATGGCTCAAACAATGTCTGTTCTGTAGCAGTTATAAGGAAAGGACGACTTGAAACAGATCTTTGTCCTACATGTGACCACAAAACCAACTCACATATCATGCAGCTATTTTTTTTTTTCTGGGATCTGTCAGGAGCAACCTGCACCTGCACTCCTGGCTGTTCCTCACGCCACCTTGCCCTGGGAACATACGGGCGACGTGGCAGTCGGAGAACAAACGTGGAGATAAAAAAATAAGAAAGTTGGTCTGGTGAAACAGCAGAGCAAACAAAGGAGAGACTTCAAATGCGATAGCGACTGCCGGCCTGCCTGAGAAACCGGAGGAGGGAGCAGTGTTGTAGAAAAACAGGAAGCATTGCCCTTCCCCGTGGAGAAAGCAGGTCTCGTGCACACAGGAAACTTTCCAAGTGAGAGTGACCCAGTGTCAGAGAGCAGGTGAGTCATTTTGCTGAGAGTCAAATCTGCGGATCTGATCTCTTGGGAGCAATCTCCCAGCTTCAGGTCAGGTCAGAACCAACACTCAGTTTCTGGTGTGCAAAGTTTTGGATGTTCTTCCTCTTTCTCTTGTATTTTCTTTCCACTGGATTTGCACATCCTTACAAAAAAGATAGTTGCACTAGCATTTGGGGATCATCACCTGGCCCTCCTCAGCATTAGAGCTTTAGGGTACCCAGCTGTGCAGTGCTACCATGTTGTGCCAGGACAGGAGAAGCATAAAGTGTGACCTAGCCATACACAATGTTCATCATGCTGGAGCTGAGGACAGCACCACTGATTTAGAAGCTGCCTCTGGCTCTTATGTTCAGTCACTCACACGAGCACTGACACAGTCACAGGGACGCCGGAACTGTAACAGTGACCTGGCAACCCCACAACCCACCTTGTGAACTCACTGCATGCAACTGCTATACACTGAGCTCGTCTGCTTCAAGCCCCTCTAAATTCAGGAGAAAAGCCATTACATTCTTTATTGGCATAGTCACCACTTCATCCTTCTACAGTAAAACATCTCCTGCCCAATTGCTTGCCTAGTTGAGCAGGCACTACCTGGCATAACTACCAGCCCAGCCACAACCAGAAATTTTGCCTTTCATATGCCTCAGCAAGCTGCCAAAGGAGGTCTGCTGTGCTCGTCCTGGGCAGGATCAAGCAGGTTTCCAGCTCAGACACTAACTGGATGATTTTCTTTAAGTCACACACACAAGGACCAGATACCCTTATGAACATTACAGAAGTCCTTCACACCATCTGATGTGGTTGACCCAGGAATTGCCATATCCTCTTTCTGACTCTAGCAAGTTCAGACCACTCAAGATCTTTTTTCCAGGTCCGCATCTTTCATAGGGCACTTTGCTCTCCACCTGTGAAGCTGACATGTGTACCTCACAGTCCTGTCATGCTCCTTACATTCATCATCCATTCTGAGTAGCAGCTGGAGGATGAATCTTCCTGGACTTGACAGACTACTCCAAGGCTGATGACACCCAGCATTAATTGCACATCACATGTGAGAAGAGCTGTTTCCCAACTTTCCCTGGACTTCATTCAAAGCAACAGCTGGCTCAGACAAACTCCTGAGAAAGCTCAGCTTTCTGCCAACCAAGAAAATCTCACCATTTCATAGAAGGCATATGCTCTCAGATTGAAAGACAACCTGCTGTTGCTGCAATCATCCAGACTCTTTCATGTTTTGGATACTTAGGAGAAACACCTCCCCTTCCCGTCTCCTGTTGGAAAAATGACATCTAATTTCATTTTGGATTTTGAAAAGTCAAGAGCCTCTGACCTCTAGACTGAAGACATCTCTCTCTGGTGCAGTATGGAAGGGGTAACTTCTTGAAAGCCCTTGGGTGTTTGAGGACACAGCAGCCATGCTGTCTGCCAGAGTGCATTTCTGACAGCACATCACACCTGGGGCTTCCTTCACTACTTCCTTAGAATTTTCTGTTCAAGATCAGCATCCAGCCTTTACTATCAGGACCCCCTTGTGAGCATGATGTCTGTTACTTTCCCTTTCCACTGAAGAACAAACCCCACTATGCTTCCCAGAGCTCTTTCCTGTCTCTAGTACTTTTGCTATGGATTTGCTAAGGAAGTGCCTGTCTACAGAGGAAGGAGGAGCTTGCTCCCACACCTGGATGCAAATGGGCTCCTGAATCTCCCAAGCTGATTCCTAAACTTTCTGACTGTACCAAGTCTTTCAGCTATGCACCACTCTTGCCTTTCTACCCCAGGCTGGCACCTGGCAGCCAAGAGACCCAACAATCTGTCTCAGGACATCAGACCCGTGCACACCTCTGTTCACAGGTGCCAGGCAGGTGCTAACTTCCTATCTGTGTTGTAACATCCTGTTTGTGGATACCACTGGAGCACAGGACTAGGAAAACAAAGTTAAGATGTTTTCTGAAATGCTGATTTACAGGTTTTAAATAAATAACCTCTGTCAGTAAAAGAAATGATAGAACACTGAGGTCCAATAGCACTGAGGGAGACGGCTATGGCAGCAAAAAGTGGAAAATACATTCCCTTGCTGTTTTCCTGTGCCCTCCTGAACTGCAGCACTCCTTCAAAGCACTAAGTCCCAGAGATCCTACCAGAGGCCAGCTTCTAAACACACCAGTCACTAAGAAATACACAGCCGAGCTGCTGCTGTTGCTGCCGCCGGAGATCATGCCCTGTGAGCCTGCCGGATTCACGCCTGCCACAACCACCATCCATCACCGATAGCTGCGGGCAGGTCTGCGCCACGCCACGGAGACAGAAGGATGCTCTCAAGATGCTCTAACAGGTTGGTGCCCTCCGGGCAGCGCTGACCAGAGGCTCGGCCTGAACCTGTGCGAGGCACAGCGGGTGCCCCAGCGCCGTCCCCAAAATCCCTGTGCCGCGACTCGCTGTGGGGTAGAGACACCTGTCCCTCTCCTCGGAGCGGTGCCAGGCGCGGCGCCTTCCTCCCGCCAGAACTTCTTCTCGGCGGGATGGAGACCGAACGCAATCCCTCTTGCGCTCCGTCTCCGCAAACGCCCCCGGCCCCCGCGGACCCGCGGTCCCCCGTGGGGGCAAGGGGTAGCCCGGCTCCCGCCGCCCGCTCTCCGCTGGCTCCAGCGGCGCTGGGGGAGCGCGGTCCTTGGGAGGCGGGATGCGGGGGGAGCGGTCCCCAAGGGATGCCCGGCCCCGGCCGCATCCATCTTACTCCGGCGGCAGCGGGAGCCCCAGGCCCGGCCCGCCCGCGCCGCGGCGCCGCTCACCCGTGCGGGGGTCGAAGGTGACCACGAAGACGGCCACGATCTGGTCCTCCTCCGCCTCCGCCCGCGGCGGCCCCGCCGCCCCCGCCGGTCCCTCGCCGTCCCACGGAGCCGCGCTCCAGCCGCCGACGAGCCGCCGCCCGCCGCTGCTGCTGCTGCCGCTGCTGCCCGGCTCGGCCGCGGGCGGCGGCGCCGACACCGCGGGGCCCTCGGCCCAGAACAGCAGCGGCGCCTCGTCCGAGCGCTCCACCATGGCCGGGCCGGGCCGGGGCGAGCCGAGAGGAGCTGAGCCGAGCCGAGCCGAGCCGAGATGAACCGAGTGGAGCCGAGCCAAGATGAACCGAGTGGAGCCGAGCCGGGCCGGGCCAAGCCGAGATGAGCCGAGCAGAACCCAGGTGAGCCGAGATGAAGCGAGTGGAGCCGAGCTGAGCCGAACCCAGCTGAGCCGAGCCGGGCCGCGCCAAACCGAGCCGCACCCCCCGCGCCGCACCGGCGGGGGGCGGGGGCCGCGGTTGGCCACGCCCCCGATGGGCGGGGCGGGCGGGGCGTAACTGATGGAGCGGAGGCGATAGGCGGGGCTTGGACCAGGGGGCGGGGCCTGAGGTGCGGCGCTCCAGGGCGGAGCTTCCCGGGGAGATCCCGGCGGAAATCCCAGCTCTGCTCCCAGGTGGCAGCTCCCGGAGGAGCACGGGAGGACTGGGGGCAGCTCGCCTCTCCGTGTTGCACCTCCTCCCACTGCCCGCCTTCTGTCCCCCCAGGCTGTGTCCTCAGAGCAGGAAGGCTCTGGGGGGACCCTGTCGGGACCATCCTACCGGGACCATCCTACCGGGGAAGCCAAAGGAGTTGGGCAGAGCAGCCTCAGGGCCAGGAAGGGGGCAGGCTCACACACACCCTGCAAGCCCCAAATCTGAAGGAGTCAGGGATACTGATCCAGTATATATTGATATGTATATCATATATCATCATCATCATCATGGATAGGTTTCGCAAACGAAGATTTGGGAAGGGCTCTACCCATGTTTGTTGCAAGCACATTGGTGGCTAAAAAGGCCCATATGAGATAGACATGTCCAGTTGCAAAAGGCACAGCAGAAAGACTCCTTAGATGATATATTCTGTAAGGCACGATTCTTTCTGCATTGTCTTTTCTCCTCAAGAGTGATCCTCTGTGCTTTCTCAAAAGCATCAGCAGCGTTATAGATGGTGTGTCTCCAGGTCTCCCGATTGGAGGCCAGAGTAGACCAGTTATGATGATCAATATGGCCAAGGCTGAGATGTTGTTTCAGGGAGTCCTTGTATCTTCTCTTCGGGGCTCCTCTCTTGCGGCAGCCGGTGGCAAGTTCACCATAGAGCAGGATCTTAGGGAGGCGGTGATCTTTCTCAGCAGGGTCAGCTTGGAGAGATCTATCATATATATGTGATATGTATATCTATACACAAACGTGGTACAGAAGGATGTGAAACATTTTTAGGAGGAACAGGCACAATCAGCTCGAGGTTGAAAGATGGAGACACAAGCATGACCAAGGCATCCACAGGCAGCCAACGTTTTGTAATTACCGTCCTCGTTATGCTACCACCAATGTCATTAAGTGTCATTAGGTTTAATTTGGTTCCCTAGGTCTTCCTGATTAATTCAATTACCCAATTAAGCAGGCCACAATTAAAAGGAAGATATTGTAATAAAAGCCTTAGTTGTCCAACTTTTTTCCTGTTGAGCAGCTCTGAGTGTTCAATACGCCATTAAGAAACCCATCATCCAGTTTCCTCAGCAGTGGGATTTGTTTTTTTCCTCTTTTTTTATTGGTATCATTAGCATCCATTTGCTGCGAGCTTCATTTCATCCAGCTCCAACACTGAGTGGGCATTTTGTTTCACAAAGTCCATGCACAAGTTTACTGTGCAGAGCTATACACCAGAGTAGGTGGTGTTTAGCAGATGGAGTTTTTCATAGAAGGTGACTGGTAAAGGAAAAAAAAAACAAACCCTGCACAATATTTTGTTACTGTATAAAGAAAAGCCAGATTTTGCAAATACTTGGCTACGTGCTTTGCTTTAACCATACAGACAGTGCCAAGCTTCATTTGGATAAATATATTTTTGCATGTTGGTGATGCTGAAGTGACAGCTCATTTCTCTCTTCTCCTTCATGCCCATAAATGTCAGTCCCCAGTGATCCAGGCAGGAAACAAATACCAAATAAGAATTCCTCCATGATCCACATGAGCTGTTTGTGACACAGAGCTGTTCCTGGTCCCCTTAGCAGTTCAGTCACACCAGTGTTGTCCCAGCTTGAGGGAGGGGATGCAGTGGGAAGAGCAGCCAGTGACAGGGAGCAGAAGCTGCCAGTGCTGGCCCCGAGATATGTGAAATGTCATCATGCTCTGAGCTCTCGGATTTTGGTGAAAAAACCCTACGGGACAAGAGACCTGGAGGCACCACAGCTATTGATACTGCTTTGGCCAGCAATCTGGGCCTGCTGAGGGCACACTGTTTGCTGGGTACATGTAAAAAACAAAGGCCACATTTTCTACTTTATTATTTCACCAAAATTGAAAAGATCAGGCCAGGGGATAATGTTACCCTTTTAGAAGAAAAAACAAAATGAACACCTTTTCACTTGAACCGAGGGCTAAAAAAATTGTCATCAGATCTTTGGGTAGTCCTCCAGAAAACATATGAAATGAAAATGTGGTGGCTTTTATTTTGAAGATGCAAGGTGAACAAGTTGGGCCTTCTTTAAACAGCAACTTTTCTCCTTTATGTATCACATCCCTCCTTAGAAAAGTGGATGTTGCCTACAAATCCCAAGGGAAAGAAGAAAGAAAAAAAAAATTTTTTTCCAGGTGGGATTGAAAACTGTGGTCTGAAGGAGTTTCATTGCTGGGTTATTAATGAACATGTAGTTATGGGGACTAAAAACATTATTTCTTCAGATTTAAAATAACACATTCCAACCCAACACTCCAAGTACCGAACATCTGATTAGTACAGTCAGCTCACAGCAGTACTAAAGTGGTCCTGGATCTCAGCTGGCCAGATGCTGCAGGGACAGCTTGTCATAGCAAAAAGCAGCCAGTGCTGGCACTCCCAGGCTTTTGGACTTCGCTCAGGGTAAGGCACAGGGAGACACAGCAGCTGCATTTCAGGCTCAGAGAGGCTGCACAGCAGCAGCAGGCTCTGTGCCTGCAAGAAATACTAGGAATACAAGAAATACTGGCTCTCTGAGCCAGTTGCGACCAGTGCTGAGTTCTTGGCATGTCCTCCTGCTACTGTTTTGGGGGCCTGTATCAAATGAATTGTTCATCACAGTCTTAACAGGAAACTTCAGAGACCTATATGGTCATACTTTTCTTTCAAAGAGTGGGTTAAGAGAGCTGAGACACCTCAGGCCATTATGTCCCTTTATGTTCTGGTGGGAATTTTCCTTGATATGTGCATAGGAAAGGAGGTGCTGGTTATGACAAACCCCCATCTCATCTGGGCTGCAGCCACTTCCAATTTCTGCATGTCCCTCTAGCAGTTCTCCTGGATGCCAAAAAAAAAAAGGCTGCTGTAACCTCATTCCCAGTTAGTTAAAACTCCCTCTAGTCCCTTTTTGAAGCTCAGGCTCACACAGACATGGATCACAAAGACATGGAAAATCCTTGTTTTTTAGAGAGAAGTGCAATGGGAGGAGATATTGACCTGCTCCCACTGAGTGGCCCTACCTGAAGGGCTGCCTTCACCGACACAGCCAGCTTCTCCCTCCTGTGCCTTGAAACCTCAAGATGGGAACCCATACAAAAACCTGTGTATGGCTCCTAACTCTCTCCTGAAGTCTTATAAATTATACAGCTATAGATTTCAACATTATAAATTACTGACCCCTCGTTGCAGCCTGCGACTCTTGCCCAAATTAACACACATCTAAATGCAGGAAGTGAAATTCAGACCTAAAAGAAGGAAGTGCAGTGCCCCATCACCAAAAGACTAATAGCTTAAACAAGTAAAGCCCACAAAGACTGGATCTCTGATGGGATTATCATGGAGCAGACTGGCTGTCAGCAAACATCATTCACCTCACAGGCCTCAGGAAGCTGGAGAAGGGAAGAATGTGCAGAAGCAAGGAGATGACAGACTCAGAGGGAGCCCTGGCTCCCTGCAGAGTTGGTTGCAGGCACAGCAAAACCCCTCATCCATTTGGCAACTGTGGGCAGGTGCTGCCAAGCTCCAGATGTTTCCCATTAGCATTGGCTCAGGTGTTTGGGGTGGTTATAAATGTTCCAGGGGAGGAAAAGGGGTCTCTGTGGGGTAGCTGGTAACTCCTCAGGGCACCCTCTGCTTTTACAGCTGTATGTACCATGGGCTCTTTTTCTCTGGTTGAGAAATTTGAGGTAGAAAGGGTGAGGGGAGGATTGGTGTGTGTTGTTTTTTAGGATGGGATAGCTTTGTTTCTCTGTGTGATGAGAACAGTGATTAAGTATTGGTGGAGGGAGGAGTTCTCTTGGAGCCTTACTGGCAAAGGTAGCGGCTTCTGAGTTGTATCTGACTTGCACCAGTAAGACAAAAGGCAAAAATCTGTTGTTATATGAGCAGTAGCTGAATGGATTTGTACTTAGTAATTCTGGGGTACTCTTCATTAACCAAGGCTGTCTAATGACACCTATGAGTGATTAAGGCTTCTGTGTCTGTGGGATTGGGGTGGGGGAGTGCAGTCAGCAGAACTGATGTCCTTGATGAAGCAAGGAAGAAGATAGTTAATCTGTGTAAATAATGCTGTCTTCTTCTCCCTCTGACCTTCTCCCTCCAACAAAACAGGCCAGTATCAGCTATACCTGTTCTGTTTCATGTGGTGACATGGGTGACTGGGACAACAGTGACGAATTCGTTCAGCGGCTGGATTTTTCCAGTTGTGGTGAAGAGAGTGAAGACAGAAGCATAAATGAGGAGGACTCCCTAAACTCGAGCCCTCCCAGGAGGTCCGAGTTCCAGAAGTGGCAAGAGAGCAGTCCTCTGCCAGCAACCCCCCCTCAGAGAAAGTTTAGTGAGATTTTCCTGAGCAGGACGAAAGCCTGGGTGAGTCCCACCTTGAAGGCTTCCCCAGCCGTGAATAAGACCTGGGGCAGTGCCGAGACACCACTGCACATCACCTGGAAAAAGCTGCAGCTGTGTGACACCCCCCACACTCCCAAGGTAATGGCATGTATCAACGCTCTGCCTGAGCAGGCAAGGTCTCTGGTGTTTGTGTGGCATCACCCTGTGGGTGGTGAGGGGATCTGTTTCCAGCTCTGTGGAAAGCTTTTTTTAATGTTACTGTTGATAGCTTGTACTCTTCCCTTAGAAACCTGGACCATGAGCTAAGGAAGGGCTATTCTGTGGGTGTGAGTAGAAACCTGTGTGTGGGAGCAATTGTCTTGACTCTTTTAAAGATGTTGTTAAAACCAATTAGCTGGTATTGGGTCAGTCTGACTTAGAAAACCCAAAGCAACCATATGCTTTGGCTTCCCATGTGCACTTGACACTCTGCTTAAGGAAGTGGATGTCTGTAGCATCTCTGTAGGAGATAAATGCATCTCCCTTCAGGAAGCTCAGCATTCCAGGGGGAGCTTCCCTTACTGCTCTGTTCAGCACATTTTTGGATGCAAGTGGGTTTTATCTTGAAAGTTGGAAATGCTGTGGCTGGGTATATCCTTTATACTAAGGATCACTTATCTACAGAGCTAGTTTCTTAGGAGAACGATCCCATACTCTATTTTCCGTGAAACTTCTTGCATAGAATATAATACAACTCATTTTTTCTCTTCTGTAATCACAGATGGAGACTTAGCACCAGCTTCTCTGTTCCTAGGTAATTTCTGGTGTGTGCACTGGGTCCTTGCCATCAAAACTGGCAATGAAGTGTAGCTCTTGGTCCCTCTCTCAGTATTCCTGGTCTACTGATGGACTGGTTGTTCCTTTGCTCAAGTGATACACAGCCTATCAATCCTTTTAATACTTCTGAGCTAGGATTTGACTTCCATCCTCCTCCAGAAACCTGATTATGTGGATAAAAGGATGATCCTCTGGCCATATACGATCAACTGTGTGGCAGTATTTGCTGAGGAGTGGCCTGCCACTCCTTAGGGAAGGAGCAGCTCTAAATGGCATCACTCCAAGAATTTCCTGCAGTGACCCTTTATTAAAAAAATCTCCCTAAATCTTACTTTAACATATGTGAGAGGTTGTCCTGGTTTTGGCTGCAGTTAATTTTCTCCCTAATAGCTAGTGCTGTACTGTGTTTTTTTGATTTAGTGTTAGAACAGTTTTGCTAACACACTGAAGTTGTAGTTGTTGCTAAGTAGTGCTTACCCAAAGTCAAGGACCTTTCAATTTCCCATGCTCGGCCAGTGAGCAGAAGCACAAGAGCTGTGTGGGAGCACAGCCAGAACAGCTGCCAGGAACTAGCCAAAGAATATTTCCTACCACAGAATATTGTGCTCAATGTGTAAACAGGGGAGAATTAGCCAGGAGAGGCCGATCAGTGCTCAGGGATGGGCTGGGCATGGGTCAGTGGGTGGTGAGCAAGTGTATTGTGCATCACTTCTCTGTCTGGGTTTTATTTGTCTCTTTTTGTTGCCTCTTTTCATTGCAATGATAACAATTATTATATTTTAATCATTAAACTATTCTCAATCCACAAGTTTTACCTACTTCTCCCCCCACCCCCGGCCCCATTTCTTCTCCCCATCCTACTGGGGGAAGGGGTGGGGCTGGGAGCAAAGGGCTTAGTTGCTGGCTGGAGCTAAACCATAACAGGGGTCTAGAATCTTTTCCAGACAAGATGGGCTGCTGGTAGTGGAAGGGTGCTTTCAGTGTGTGCTCTTGTGTAGCTAATATGTTGGCTGGATGCTTCAAGACACGCTGCTTTGTAGTTTGTTACCCTGTAGCTCATGAGCAGCAATTGCACAAAATCAACAATTTCTTTTCCTTTACTGTCATCTGGGGAAAGGTCTTGGTTTCCAAGCATGCTGCAAAAGGTGGGCTCTAAAGGGCCCAAATCTTATCAACAAGGCTGGGAGCATTGATTTTGGAACATTTGAAGGTGATAGAAAGGGTAAGAGAGCAGAGCCACATCTAACTGCAGACAGATGAGCACCAGAGCCCCAGCTGGGATGCATGGCAGGAAGCAGATGATTGCATTTTATAGGTTTGCTCAATCCTGGAACAGATTGCTAGAGCTGGTTATGGTAGCTGCCCTACACTGCATGGCAGCAGCTACTCTCAGATGATGTTACAGGGAGACGAGTCTGCTGGATTGTGAAATAAAAATAAAGCCCCTGTAGAGCAGACAGGAATTGCATACATGCACACATCAACAGGCTGGAATGGTATTTAAGATCCCTTCCTTGGCTTGTGGTTAGACTGGAATTTAGCCACAATCCTACACAGCTTCTAGGCTGCTGAGTAAATTGGGCTTGGATATATACTGCTTTTAATACATCCATAAGCAGGATTTTCCCATTCAGGAGCAATGAGATGCAGAGCTTGAAAAAGAGATCAAGAGTCATTTTCAGGGTCACAGTAAACCAGGAGCCAAATTTTTAAGCACAATATAGAAATAAAGGAATGTCCCAGAAGTAGCTATATCCATGAGTGCAGCACCAGTTAGGTGGATGTAGGATACTGTATGCAGCTTTAGGTTTTTTATCTTCAAAAACTTTTGTTGAGAGAAAAGAGCAACTCTAGGTGTGAGTGAAGATCTGGGATCATAATAGTGAGACCACTGCTGGACTGGAAAGATATAGGAGTACCTTCATCATCAACAGGGAAGAGTTCTGGATTCTTGAAGGGCTTTTAAAACTAGAGGAAAGCAGTATATTAAAAACCCTCTAGAGCTAATATTGTTCTCTTGAAGCTGAAACAAGTCAAACTCAAACTTATGTTTTTAAAAAGCTGATGGTTACTGAAGAGGTTAAGTCAGACTGAGTAGATTTTTATGTCTCCAACTGAAGAGTGATGTGCTTCTCTGAAGGTTTTGGAATAGTAGGTGAAACCCAATGGTCTGTCTTCTGTGGGAAGCTGAAGTACAGAAGATCCAGAGGCTTCTTTTGAACTTAAATTTCTGAAACTCTGGTTTTTATTCAGGAGGAGAAATGTGGTTTGGTTGCTTTGCCAGTGGCCATACAAAAATATTTCTACTAACTTACCCTGTCCTAATACTGCTTATTGTTGGAGAACCACAAGGAAACCTGGGTGGTGTTCCAGCTCATCTCCTGACAAACCTGTTCCGACCAAACTGATGCAACAGTCCACGCCTGACAGAACTAGGTCTTCCATGTTAATGTAACATACAATACAATTTCTGTGTTTCTGTAGGTGAGAAAGAGGAGCAGCTGGCACCTCTTGAGGACTGTGCTTGCCAAAATGGCTCTGCAGGCCTCACCTAAGTGAGCAGGGAATAGAATCTGAAAGGGCTAACAAAGAATGAAATGCTTTGTGGAAGAAGAAAACCATCAGGACTAAACTGGGGACACAGGGATTTAGGAGTCAGCGGTCGCAAGGAAGGGAGCTGAGTTCTCTGAGGAGAACAGAAATTTTATTCTGACATAGCAGACACAAAAACACTTTTGCTGTTTATTTTCCAATTTTTTTTTCCTCTCTCAATACAGAGCCTGTTATCAAAGACAGCTTTTCCTTCATCTGGGACAAAGGTCCCAGCCAAAGGCTATCGACAGCCGAGATACGCTCCTGGAGCTGACTCAGATGACTCTACCCAAGCTTCTCTTGTCAACATTAATCCCTTTACACCAGAGTCGTATCGACAAATGCTCTTTCTTTCTAATGGCAAGAGGAAGACCAGAGAAGAGCTGTAAGTGAGCTCATCTTAAACAGCAGACTGGAAGCAGACTGTTTGAAGGAGATAAGTAATGGAGACATTCAGTATCTGCACTTATTTGCTAACAGTGAATCATTCACTTCTGTAGTATTCATTGGTGCAGAGCAAACATTACTAGACATGTAAAGGTAATGAAAATATAAATAAAAATCAATCACCTCCTTTGTTCAGGAATGTAAGTGGAGGATCAACAGCTAACTTCAGTTCTGTGACTGTAGCTTCACCAGTAATAGGGTGGCCAGGAGAATGATGCTTCTGGACAATGCCACTCTGTTGTGTGGGCAGTACTGAAGTTGCTTTGTGGAGGCTTTCTAAATGGAAACAAAGATTTTCTAACCTAGGACTGCAGTCTTTAAGGCCTTGACTAAAAACTCGTGTGTTAACTCTATAAAATACATTTTAAGCTGTGAAGCAAAGTTGGAGGTTCTTTTGAAGGATGTTTTCATTTCAAATCTCAGTTGCATTGCTTCACTGAAATGATAACACCAGACTTTCCTAAACTTCTGTTATAGGAAGGATCCTCGTCCAAGAAGCCAGATTAAACAGCAGCTACATCCACAGGTGAGTGTCTCTGTATTTCCCTCCCACAGAGCGGATATGATGCTAGCAAAGACTTGGTGTTTAAAATTTATTCTGTTATTGGAGTATAAATCTTGACGTCATGCCGGAGGATGAATACTTCTGTCAGAATCATTCCAAGGTGAATATTTTGTTAACATTTGTTTGAGATGACAAACTTGGGAGTGATTCCTGTCTCTAAAGGAAACTTGTACTAAAGCAGATCTGAAACTTTGACAAGTAATACTATAAAACTCATTGATTTTGGTCAGGAGGTCTTCCTGGGAAATATAATTTGGGTTCCTCAGAGGGAACTGTATTGCTAAACTACTAAGTTAGCATAAATAGGGATTGTACCTTTGTGGTTCAAAAAAGCAGGTGTATTGCTGTTCCTATGAATTGGTGTACTGAGCGTCTTTGGATGTTAAAGGAATATGGCTTCTATATTGCAAATAGCATATGGACCTGCACTGCAAAACCACAAAGACTCAGCTGTGGATAAGTACTGAGGGCACAGTTTGAGTTGCAGTAGTACTGATGACAAATCTCTGAAGCAAGGTGGCAAATTCTGTACTCTGTGGGGAAAATGTCCAGCTGGGGTGGGTGGGTGTGCCTTGGGGTCCAAGGGAAGGCCCCACCACACCTTAAATAGCTACAGGACAGCAAACTCTATCTTAGAGCTCCAAAAAGAGTCCTCTTGCTGTTGCTGACTGCTGTACTTCGCTGGCAAACCTCAGCTTTAGCCTTGGTGTGAGGTCCCATGTACTCCCAGCTGTGATGGCAGAGTTGGGCAGTGGTGTGGGAACCCATGTCCCACAGTCTTCTTCCTTCTTCCCAGTTTTATCTGGAGGGATGCTGCCTATCCAACTGGCTTTTGGAAAGCAAGCCAAGCCTCAATTAAATTTCTTCATTTAGATGAGGTAAAAATCTCAATTCTCCTGAGCAGCCCCTTGAAGGAAGTATCTTGACTTATGCAAATCTGTAGTTGTGGGTTAGGCTTACAGAAGAATAACGGTACCCTCTAGCCGAGCAGACTGGTATTGCAGGAAAACTGGTCTTCATGGAAAAACTACACCTGCAGAGCCAATCTGCTATCAGGCAACATCCGGGGCTGCCACAATTATTGTTTTCCCTAGAAGAAAGCCTTGAGTAGCTTGTGATTTATTGAAATATTATTCTGCTCGAGTGCTGATTAGATTATGTAATATAGATATAAAATTGTGTACTATGAGGTATCTTTATTCCCAAGCTTTTTAAGATAGTGTAAAATACAGCTGCCTTATGCCTTCACCTGTTGTGAAGGGCTGCTGTTTCATGTGAGCCACATCTTACTGGCTGTGAGGACCAACTCTTACCCCCTCCCCTTTGAGGTCATATACCACATACTGCCATAATCACAGCAGTGGTTTCTGTGGGAACCACTCTGCCACATGACCTGCTGTCCCTATGAGGGATGCAGGAGCATGGAGAAAAATCACTTAGCCTGCTCTCTTGTTGTTCACTTCATGCTCCACTGCTTATCTTTTCTTTACTCATCTCCCCTGCCAGTAGGCATCACTCTACAAGCAGTACCAGCAGTTCCTATTTCCCTAGTGGGCATTATTGTAGCAATAATGATGTTCCAACTGTTCTGCAGGCTTTCAATCCTTTGTGGAAAAGTGTCTCTGGGTGAGAAATCAGTGGGGATACAAACAAATACACAGAGACCAGCTAATCTGCCATTAGTCAACAGCTGGTGCTTCAAACTTGAAGAGCCTGAACTGATGCAGAATGGCCTTGCTGCAGGCAACCTCAGCTGCCAGAGTAAAACAGCTCTTACATAGCTGGAGCCACATGAAGCCAACATTCAGGCCACAAAGCTTCTCTCCTGTATTCAAAATAGGCAATAATTCTTACTTAAACACAAATTCAGTACATGGATCTGGCTAATTCAGAGGTACTGGATTTCTACCTACTAAATCTGGTAACAGGTCTTCTCAAGCCTTCTCTTTAGGGCCAGTTACTTCAGTATTTGGTTGTTGCCTGCTGTTCTTCCCTGACTGATTCCATCAGCTATGGGTCAAGAAACTGGTCTGGGCTGCCAAGAGAAGAGATGAGATGGCAGTAACCCAAGAAGGCTTAGGCACATACACCAAACTAGACTAAAATTCTCCTTAGCTGCAGTTTCTACCTCTATGGCTAGCAAGTCACGATTTTATAAAAAACAAAACAAACACAGCCCCACAACTTGGCCTTTGGTAGGTGGTCAGAAAAAACACGATGTGGTTAAGTGAAAGGTAGTATTTCAAGAAGAACAGGCAGTGCACCTGCACACATGCCTGTGTATATCCAGATGAGCATCCAGAATGGGAGAGAGAGCAACATGGGTAGTCTGAGAGCAAGTGCTACACACCTCTAAAAACATGACAGTATTTTTTAAGCCTTTGTTTAAATCTTTCAACTCGTACTTGTCTTTGCTTTTGTGACCTTCTAGAGATATCCTCTGAAGGAGAGCAATATGGTTTCCCGCTACAAGAAGGAGTTCCTGGAACTAGAAAAAATTGGTGTGGGGGAATTTGGCTCTGTCTACAAGTGCATCAAACGCCTTGATGGATGTGTTTATGCCATCAAACGCTCCAAAAGGCCTCTGGCAGGATCCTCGGATGAGTGAGTGTGCTAGCTAGAAACTGCCAGTTGAAATGATGGGCATGTTCTTGAGAGGTGTGATGGGGAAGGAGGGAGTGTGGATCTCAAGGTATCTGAGGGATGGCATGAGCAAAAATTGGCTGCTGTTGCACTTCAAAGTAACAGAAGAGTGGGAGAAGACAGCACTGTACAACTATTGGATTTAAATGTCTAAGGAAGGAAGAAGTCCTATGCATTGCAAAGTGAGATGATGGCTTACCTGAACTCCTTGGGTCCATCTAGACATTTTCTTTAAAGTGATAACTGTCAAGTATGTTGTTTGTGGAAAGTCCCTGCCCTGCTTTATGGCCAGCATTGCTCACATCTGTATTGACCAGCTCATGGTGTCCTGCATGTTAAAGCAAAGTCTTTGAAGTTGCTGCTGCTTTTGCCTCTTTAACAAAAGACTTGCTCAGTGATTATTTTATTTGGACAGCTGCTCAGCACACTTGAGCAAGGGCAAGTTTTTTTTCAGCAGCTGCGAGAGCCAGTCTGTCTGTCAAAACTCAAGAGAAAGTCCTGATCACCTCTGTTCCCCCTTTCTCAAGCCAGGCTGCAATCTGGGCTCTCAAGCAGACTCTACCACTCTGTAACCTCTGCTTTTTCTGTGTGTGCTTCTCTAGGCAGCTGGCACTGCGTGAGGTTTATGCTCATGCTGTCCTTGGACACCACCCCCATGTTGTGCGCTACTACTCGGCCTGGGCAGAGGACGATCACATGATTATCCAAAATGAGCACTGCAATGGTAAGAGCTGGGACATTGTCAAAGGTTGAGATCTCAGGATGGGTGCAATTGCCCTCTTAAATATGGGACATTTTGGCTTACAACAAAGCAAGCTGCACCGGGGCTACATATCCATGGAGAATCCCGTAAGGGCTCATAAGATCTGAAGAACATGAAGCTCTGAATGGTTCCAATGTATTAGAGGCAGTGAATACCCTCTAATTTCTGGGATTTTAAAACTGTTCCTCTGTGTTGGCTGGCCTGGAGAAGCATTCCCCATGCTGATGCTTAGAGCTTTGTCTGGGACTGTCCGGGTAACATCTGATATAAGTGACTCAAGAGCAGATAACTTAAGGGTCATGTACCTCAGCAACAAACTTGTCTTAATGAAGGTGGATAACGATTGGAAGAGTGGCTACCTGGTTGAGAGGAAGGCATCTTGACTAGAAGAAAAGGGTTGGCAACTGCAGAGGAATGGAGCAAATAATGAGGCAAAGTGTAAATGGGATGCTGCAGGCAGGGTGGTACACTCTTACTTCAGTTTGCCCTTGGCCACAGCACTGTTTGAGAGAAATTTAAAAGGACCCATCTGGCTACCAGGGGAACTGAAGGCAAATATGTAATGCTCATCTTTCAGCTGCACCTGCAGTCCTGGGGCTCAGTGAAGAGCTGAGGTGATAGGTGTTTGGAGTAATGCTTTCAAATGTGGTGGAGGGAACCGTGAAATATGGTGCTTGTTGCTGCAGCATTGACGTATTGCTTGTGTTCTAGTGGATGAGTATCTGATACTAAAGGAGAAGTGGTGACAAGTAGGCTGATGGAGAGAGGAGCCATGATATTTATTAGTGCTAAAATAGCCAGAGTGCCTCAATGGAGACCCACAAAATTTTGTGTCTGTGTTAAATGTTACATTCTTCAGTCAAAAATCTTCTAGGAGGAACTTAATTTCCTTGCTCCAGCATTCATATACCTGCTTCCTGCTTGTAAGCATGGCAGAAGTAATTAATTTTTCCACTGTTCACTTGAAGCACCATCAGTGTCACTACCAGGCCAGCCCTCCTGGTGCTGCAGTTGCTCAGTCCTTGGTGAGCAGGAAGAAGGGCATTCTGAGGCAATTGAAAGGCTGAAGCTAAATGATGATGTCTAGAGCATATGTAGAGCATATATTAGCTGGTCTGGTTCGGGTTTGCCAGTGCATCCTTGCAAGCCTGCAAGTGTTCTAGGCAGTAGTTTCTACCAAGCTGTTACAAATGTGCTGCTCTGTAAAAACCTTTGTGAGGTCTCAGACTGCCTGTTTTCACCTAGGTGGGAGTCTCCAAGATGTGCTGTTGGAAAATGCAAAGCTGGGGCAGTATTTCCTGGAAGCAGAGCTGAAGAAAATATTGTTACAAGTCTCCATGGGGCTAAAATACATCCACAACTCTGGCCTTGTGCACCTGGATATCAAACCTAGTAAGTATAGTGCACTTCTTTGTGGAAGGTCTTCCTAGTGACCCTTCAGGGGTAGGGTCTGTAACAGATCCTTCTGCTTGGACCTATCATAATGCTTCAAAGGAAAGAAGACTTGCCCTAAAAGGTAAATGTCTTGTGGTTTGTGTGTGGGTTTTTTGGGTGGTTTTTTGTTTGTTTGTTTGTTGTTGTTGTTTGGTGGTTTTGTTGTGGTGGTGGTTATTTATTTATTTTATTTGTGCTACTACTGCTGCTTTAAAAGTGCTTCTCTGGTAGTCAGCAGCATTTTACTTTTGTCTCATGATCTCCATAATCCTGGCTCATGGGAATCACCTTCATACCAGTGGAGCAAGTAGGGCTGCTAATGAACACGGGGACTTCCTTATTTGCTTCTGCCTTGTTGCACAACACTTGACTTTTGTATGTGGAGCTACCCTGAGGGATTAAGTTCCTGCAAAAATAGTAACAAGGTTTCCTTTCTGCAGCTGAGGATGGGCACCTCCTGGGCAGTGCTCCCCCCAGTCGCAGAGTTAATATTCTTGTAGTGGAGCTCCTTTTTCCTGCTGAAATCATGCTTTTAGCTTAGAGGGCAGAGGGAGGGGAAGTTCTAGGCTATTTTCTGCACAAGGTACAGCTGTCTTCTGCCAGCTGTGTTGCTGAATATGTGAGCTGGGCAGAAAGCAGACTAACTGGTGGGAAGCATGTGCACAGTTTCTCTGGCTGCAAAGCTTGACTAGTGTGACAGGCGGGATTTTTGGAAAGTTGTCAGGCTGATGCAGTCTGACTACTGATATCACACTTGCTAAACTTTTCTGTCTTGCAGGTAATATCTTCATCTGTCACAAGCTGGCAGTTGCAGGCCCCTCTGGGCAGGAGAGTGACAGTGAAGATGAATTCTCTTCTGGTATGGTGTATAAGATTGGTAGGTTTTAGCCAACTTTACAACTTGTTTAAGATTAGGGCTGCCCATTACTGCTTGATACTGCTCTGTCCTGCTGGCTGAAGAGACTCACATACAAAACTGATAGCAAAGTCCTGAATGCCCCAGTTACCTACCAGAATTAATTCCTCTGAGGAGACAGCTCCTAGAAAACTCATGAGCTTGTTTCCAAGCCCAGATTCCTGAGTAGGAGCAGGCTTGCTCTTTTACTTAGTATTTTGTTGTTGCTCTTACTGGTGCCTTTAAAGATGCAGGCTTTTATTGATGGAGAGCTACATCAGTTTCTTCATTACGTTCCAGTTGCTTGTTCTTTGTCCCAGGTGACCTTGGACATGTGACATCAATAACAAACCCTCAGGTGGAGGAAGGAGACAGACGGTTCTTGGCCAATGAGATTTTGCAAGAGGTACAGCTGCTGGCAGGGCAGTGGGGAGCAAGTGGAGAGAGATCAACTGCAGTGCAGTCATTAGTATAGTGTGTTCCTCACTTTATCTCCTCTTTCTTCTGTCTGGTCTGGCTGTGAAATCAGCAAAATTAATGCTTTATTATGAACAGTATAGGTATGGGTCTTATCATGTAAATATTTACAATACTTTATAAGTTACTATCATTAGTTTATTGCAACTATATTGCCTGTGAGGAATTAATGAGACAAAACCTTATCAGTTTGGAGACATTTGATTTGCACACTCAGCTGATATTAAACTGCCGGATGTGATTACTGAGGAATATGTTTAGCCAGACAGATGCCTTGTACAACAAACACTGAACAGGTAGTGGGGAGAGGTGAGAGGCACAACACACCTCTTAAACTTGACTGCAGTCTTCTCACTGGCCAGTGGAAAAAAAGGAAATCTGTATTGAACAACCAGCTTGGATGTGTTCGTCAGCTCAGGTACTTAAGTGACAGTATCTGTGTTGCAACTGGCTTTGGGAACTGCTAGGTCAACGTATTAGATGCAGCCTTGAGTTGGGCTTATTGCCTTGTGGTGAAGGGTGGAGGTACACATCTGTTAGGCCACCCTCTGGAGTTGCTGCAGTGATCATAAAGTGGGCTGGAAGTTTCTTGTGGCTGGGTGAAAGCCAACATGCTGTTAGTTACAGTACTGTCTGCTGACAATGTTTTTGTCCTAAAGAGAAGGAAGCGGCTCACTGGAACGGTGAAGCCAGTGCCATAAACATACTTGCTTGGCTGTTTCTTTTTGAACTTGGACCCCAACCCACCTTTGTTTAGTATAGCAAGATGTTCCCTTTCTATAACCTTTCACCTTCTGTCTGCAGCAATACTGCAACCTGCCCAAGGCAGACATCTTCGCCCTGGCACTCACGGTAGCTCTGGCAGCTGGTGCAGCACCGCTGCCTCACAACGGGACCATGTGGCACCACATCCGCAGAGGCAACATCCCACCGATCCCCCAGAACCTTCCCCGGACCTTTCTTGAGCTCCTTAAGGTGAGGAAGCAGTCTCTGGCAGAATGGTGGCTTTTGCAGTTGTCATGTGGCAGGTGTGTTAAACTCTGAACTCCTTTGCCTTCTAGCTCATGATCCATCCTGACCCAGTGGAAAGACCTTCTGCCACAGCTCTGACTAAACACCCTGTTCTCCGTCCTTCATGTGGAAAAGCTCTGCAGCTCCAGGAAGAGCTAAATGTGGAGAAATGCAAGACGGCCATGCTGGAAAGGTAGGACTGGCTGGGGCATGAAGGGGAGAAGGCATGGGCATAACAAGTGCTGGTCACTAGCCTTGAATGTAGGGTGGTAGTGCTGGGAGAACACAGATGTAGAAATACCCAGGCAGGTCCTGTGCCCGGAGCTGGGAGGATGGTGAGGCTGTAGCAGGGACTTGCAGTTCCCAAGCAGCTCTGCTTCAGTTCTGGCTCTGAGGAGCTGGCTGAGTTAGAACAGTGAACTTGTGCACTTACTGCAACCACTGGTGATGGAAAATATTGATACAGGAAGCAGCCGGGGGCAGATGAGGAATTGATAATGCACTGAGATAGTGGTCTGGCACAGAAAGAAGGGAATATTTAGGTGGTGGCAGACATCCTTTTCCCCCTTGTTCCCTCTCACTGCTGTTGGCAATAATGTTTTAAAGGTGCTGGGACCTAGGAACTGCCCCACCACCCCTCTTAGTGCAGTAGTCAGCTGGAGAGTAAGTTTTTTTGTGTAGACAGAAGAGTGTATTCTCTGGAAGAACAGCAAGGGAATAAAGGCGCAATGGAAAAGAAGCGTGTGCCTTTATAAGTTTTGCCATTCGCAAATTTCCAAAACAATGGGAGAAAAACTGAGCTAGGGGCTCTTCACGCTGGTGCCAGTGTGTTGCTGACCTGATACATAGTTTTCTTTTGGTAAATCTCTAAAGACAGTTACAGTAATCTTCATGTCACCCTCTTGGGTGAAAAGCTTCCTCCCTCCTGCAATGCTGGAGTATTACAGTAACCCTCTTGTGCAAGATTGTTCATAGCTTGCTTCTGTAGCTGGTGAGGATTCATGCATGACCCGGTTTTCTTCCTCTCCTCTTCCTTCCATCTCCCCCCTGCAGGGAACTTAAAGCAGCTCGCCTTGCCCAGACCCTCATGAAGGACCAAGCCTTAGGAAGTGCCAAGTTGCAAGAGTCTGAAACCTCTTCTAAGCAGAAGAGCAAGCGCCTGGTGGGAGGGAAAAGCTGTCGCTCATTTAGCTTTACTCTGGGTTACTGAATTTTTGTGTTGTCCAAAAAGCTCTGACTGCTGAAGGGCCCTGTGAAAGCTGAGGGTCTGCACCGACCAATGCCCCATATTATCTCTCCCTGTCGTGTTCTTTTTTTGTAACCTCCTTAGTTGTTGGCTGAGGGAAGAATGACTGGCTTACAGGTGTTGGATCAGGGAATTTAAGGTTATTGTCCCCAGTCTTTTAACTGTTAAATTTCTTGTGTAATTGCTCTTGACTAAGTGTAGCTCTGCCAAACAAGGGAAAGGATGGCATTTTCTCTCCTTACTTCCCTCTTTCTTTAGTTGGGCCCTGTTATTGATGATTTTGTGGTCTTAATGCTCTGGCTGAGTGTATCTTTAAAGGGGCAATAGTGGCTGTACATGGAGACAGCATCTACAGCAGGGCCCTTCTAGGAGTGAGTAGGCAGAGACTATGGCTGTGTTAACTACACATCAGGAGACAGGCTGGTTACATAGCAGTCCTGGTGGACTTGGGATGCAATTGGAGTGGCATTTCACTGATGGGGGACAAAGAGTAAAAGGAAACACTGAGTTAAGGAATGGAAGCTGAAGAAAAACTTTCCTTCCCTTAGCTTTCAGCAACAAAATAGCTGGGTAAGCTTATTCCCTGATGCCTGAGTTGTTTTCTGTCGATCGGCAAGGACTCCTTGTTCAAGTCGGGGAGAGGTGGCTGTGGTGTGCTGGTAGCTGGATCTGGTACCCGCTTCTCTTCCAGTACCTCACACTTGGTGCAGCTGCCTGCCCGCAAACTGCACCCTTTCAGCAAAGATGAGGGGAATCAGAAAGGGCTTTTCCAGGTTTTTGGAGTTGCCCATATAAACTGTGGTATGTATTTCGTATTTATTAGACCTCACACTACACCACACCCTCCCCCTCCCCTCTAAATGTATATTTGTGGGTCCTGGTCGGCTGTGTCCTGTTTGGACAGAGTGTGCTGCACTGTTACGAGGGAGAATGTAAACTTGGTAACTCGCTTATTTCCAGTTCTTATTGAAGTTTGTTTTATGATGCTGGCTTTTAACTGTTAGATCCTATATTTTCAGAACTGAAAAGCGCAAATAAACATTTTATCTTAATTTTTTTAACCGATGACGGAGTGACTTCTTTTTTTTTTCCTCCTCCCCCGCCACCCGAGAGCTCCCTGTCCCCCGTGGGCCGGGGGAGGCGAGCCGGGTGGCCGTAGCAGTGGCTGCCCGTGGGCTCTCCAGCCCCTGTCCCCCCGGGATGGGGCGGGTTTCCGCCCGGAACCTCCCGTCGGTCCCTTTCCTGTTCCGGGCGCGGCGCGGCTGCGGCGGGAGAGGTGCGGAGGGCGCGGGGTCGGGCGGCGGGAACGGGCCGGGCCGGGGCTCCCTCGGGCGCTGCTTCAGCCCTGCTTTTCCCTCCGCAGGCTCGGCGGAGAAGGCATGTGGCGGCGGCCGGCGTGGCAGGTACGGCCGGGCGGGGCCTGGGGAGGCCCCCCCGGGCTGGCACTCGGGTCCCGTGTGCCCGCGGCGGGAGGAGGAGGAGGAGGAGAAGCAGCTCCTGCCGCTCTCGGCTGTCTGGCAGTGACTCTCCGGGCACGGCAGAGGCGGGAATAGCCCAGGGCCCCGGGGCCGCTCGCCCAACCTGGCCGGGGCTGCAGCCCGTGAAGATGTTCTTGTTCGCGCTCGTATTTCCAGGGGTGCAAATGCCGAGCCTTAGTTACTGAGCTACTGGGAAAATGGTGTATTAAAAGATCTGGCTTTTGTGTGGAATGAGTCTGAGATGATTTGCGTGTGTGTTAGTGAGGCACACAGATGCACCAAAGAGCTTTCGTTTTGCAGATTGCGTTTCCTCTGGTTTAGCTTCTCTGTTCACATGTTACAGGAAATGAGCTTTTTTTTCCAGTTCCTGCACATGGGCCTCTTGCGGGAGTGTTCCTGGGCTTTTCTTGTTCCCTCCTTTCTTCTAGGATGGGATATTTGCTGGCATCAAGGCAGCTCCTTTACTTTTTGCCCCACTTGTGCTTATTTGTGGCACTGGGGTTTTTTGTCCTTGATTTGCTGTCTGCTCAGGAACAGGGGTTGTCAGTGTATCCTATTGCTCATGACCACAGATGGATGAACATTTGGGCATGTCTTGTTAATCTCTGAAGTAAAGCAGAAAGCAACTATCAAAACTGTTTTTGTTTCGTAAAACCAAAGCCAAAAGAACTGAACAACCACTGTACTTCAAACCTCTCCCCTTCTGTTTATATATTACATAATAACAGTAGTTACAGCAGGTCCCAAAAATAATTGCTGGAGATGGACCTGTGGACCACACTTTCTCTTTCTCCTAGGCAGCTTTTTAACGCTCCTTTAACCAGATATTCTTTGAATAATCCCACTGGCTTCATTTAGCTGAATGAATTTCTTTTCTCAGTCCCCTCCCCTTAGTTACAGGGAAAAGAACATACTTGCAGAACCTCCATAGGTGTTCAGAAAATGAGTCATCAAGGCTTCTGAATGCTGTTCATACTTTCTGTCCTGGAAACTAACATGTGTCTGTTCCTTCAGGTGTTTCGCCAGTTTGTGAGACATGAGTCTGATACAGTTGCCCCATTGGTACTGGAAAGATGTAAGTAGCTCCTGAGATGCAACTTAGTGTTACTTGTTGTGTTTATCTCAGTTTTTAGGAGGTCTGAAATATGGCGGGAGAGAAACAGGTAGGTATAGTTGCTCCTCAGTGTAGTAACTAAGAATGTATTGTTTCAAACACACAGGCTCTTGAGTATCATAGAATCGTAGAATCAGCCAGGTTGGAAGGGACCTCAGAGATCATCAAGTCCAACCCTTGATCCAACACCACCGTGGCTACTAGACCATGGCACTAAGTTCCACATCCAGTCTCATCTTAAAAACCTCCAGGGACGGAGAATCCACCACTTCCCTGAGCAGCCCATTCCAATGCCTGATTACCCTCTCTGTAAAGAATTTCTTCCTAATATCTAACCTAAACCTCCCCTGGCAGAGCTTAAGACCATGCCCTCTTGTCTTGCTGATAGCTGCCTGGGAGAAGAGACCAACCCCCACCTGGCTACAACCTCCTTTCAGGGAGTTGCAGAGAGTGATGAGGTCTCCCCTGAGCCTCCTCTTCTCCAGGCTGAACAAGCCCAGCTCCCTCAGCCTCTCCTCATAGGACTTGTGCTCGAGTCCCTTCACCAGCCTTGTTGCTCTTCTCTGGACCTGTAGCTTCCTATCTGGTCTTTGTCAAGTCAAGCAGCACTTTAGAGGGGACAAGAGAAAAGCCCTGACATAGAGTACCACCTGTAAAAAGCAGGTGGTTGTACTTTATCAATGGCAGTAAATTGGGCCTGCTGTTGTCATGATTTCTAACACCTGCCTTTAGGTGTCTCATGTGCTTGTTTCCCAGATTCCTCTGTGCCTGGGGGACTTGTTTGGGTGCTGCTGCCCCACTATGATTTCCTCCAGGTGTACACTTCAGACTTCAGTCTTCAGTTCACATGCTTTTGCAAGAATGATACTCCCCTGATCTCCTCCAACTGTTCTTGAACATGGAGAAGGGATAAAATGTGTCTGCCTAGGCCTGGTACCTGTGTCAAAACTAGTCACCCTCTAATTCAGAGGATGGAGTATCATAATGCAACTGTATTGTTTTAAAGGTACTGTTTTAAGGAAAAAACAATGTAATGCTATGGTTTTATCATAATGAAAAAAAAAAGTCTAGTCAAGTAAATGCAAGATAGTCTCATGACATATGGATATGTCTTTGGAAAAAGATGACAAAGGAATATTTGGCTGAGTTATTTAGTGATAATGACAGTACAGGCACAGTCAACCATCTGCTCGGGGCCTGAATAAGGCAAAAGTCACAAGAGCTTGAAAAGTGGTTAGGAGGTGCAGAAAGTCATGGTTCTGGCCCTTCACAAAAACTGCTGGTTTGTGGCTTGCATGATTAGAAGCATCGTAGTTCACCTGTATATGTGTTTATTCTCTCTTGTTTCAGCCATGAATCGTGTCCAGTTACTGGGTCGGGTTGGACAGGACCCTATCATGAGGCAAGTGGAAGGAAAAAATCCTGTTACCATATTTTCTCTTGCAACCAATGAGATGTGGCGGACAGGGGATAGTGAACTAGGACAGGGAGGTGAGTCTGCAGCGAGCAACCTGCTTTTGCTGTGTTCTGAGCTCATGTTTGCATGTTCAGCAGCACCACGCTTTGTTCTTGTGCTGCTGTGTAAACCTCTTGGGTGCAGGAAGGTTCCTCTGGGGTCAGTAGAGATGCTGGTACATTTGTGTGTCTCTTACTGATCCCCAGCAGCGTGAAGAGAGATCTGCCTGTCAGCCTTCCTCTGGAGAAGAGTGTTGAGTTGGCAGTTTGTCACTGTTGGGGTTTGTCAGAGGTGTAGTGGGTCCTCTTCTTTTGTTTGTATTTCAAGAGAGAAGGAAAAAAAAAAAAGAAAAAAATATGCATTTTGTCTCCGATTCTGTCATCAGTCTGAAGCTACAGGTGTCTTGTTTTCTCTAACTTCTATTCAATGTAGATCGTGTGCGTGTGTCTGTGTAAATTATAGTATGAGCACTGTATTCCAGGAAAAGTGATCTCTTGGTTTGAACTGTGCTTCTGCACAACACTTTCATTTGGACACAGATGAGTGGAACATTGAGTTCTGGAATGAAGTGGGATATTGAGTGCTAGTATACTTCTGTTTTCAAGTCACTTCTCATAAAAACTAATTTCTGAGTCTTGTACCAAAAAGAGTTTGGCATCCAACTTAGTTATTTTTATGTAACTTAGGTGATGTCAGTCAGAAGACGACGTGGCACAGAATCTCTGTCTTCAGGCCAGGCCTCAGGGATGTTACCTATCAGTATGTGAGAAAGGGGTAAGTGAATAAGAAATGTGGCTGAGGATTTAATGCCTTAATAATTGATTAATGTAATAATTATGGTGACCAAGAGCTATGCTAAGACAGAGGTGCCATAAAATGTTAGCAGACCTGCTACAAACAACTGCTACAAATGCTTGTGTACTTAGATTCTGAATTCAACCTTTTCATCAGGAATAGTGATGAAAAGGACAAGGAGTAATGAATTCAAACTTAAAGAAGGGAAATTTGGATTGGATTTATAGATGAAATTCTTTACTGTCAGGGTGGTGAGGCACTGGAACAGGTTGCCCAGAGAAGTTGCGGATGCCCCATCACTGCAAGTGTTCAAAGCCAGGTTGGATTGGGCTCTGAGCAACCTGGTCTAGTGGAAGGTGTCCCAGCCCATGGCAGGGGGTTTGGAACTAGATGGGTTGGAAGGGACCTTAAGGACCAAACCATTCTGTGATTCTAGATATAGAGTGGAAAACAGCAGCACAGTTCTCTGACCAGAACTAAATTGTTTTTTTCAGTTCTCGAATTTACGTTGAAGGGAAGATAGACTATGGTGAATATACAGATAAAAACAATGTGCGGCGACAGGCCACAACAATTATAGCAGGTAAGGAGCGACATATCAAGGTTCCCCTTGCCCTTTTAAGATGGAGAGGGAGTGAAGGGCCTTCGAAATAGAGCTTGGTTTGTCTTCATCCTCAGTATCCACACTTAGGGATTTTGAGAGAATGAATAGTCTGTACCAGTAGATTTCCTCTGGCACTGCTTGTGAAGACACAGAGTATACAGTTGGAAACTGTTTGCATCCTTTGCTCACACAAAACAGTTGGTGCAGGAGGCAGACACTGTTTTAAGAACACTGGAATGTAGTACTACAGGTCAGGCAGATTCCTTTTCTAGGCAGAGTTTGTTTAGTAGCTTTATCTCAGTTTGCTGGAGTTTTTTCTTCCTGTTAAAGACTGGTGACTTCACTAGCTTTAAGGACCTCCGTGGAAGATTGTTTTATGTGCAGATAACTTGGTGGAGAATTTAGAAACACCTTGCTCTGGTAGCCAGTAGTGATAAGAAGAGCATAGAATGGGTAAGGAGTACACTTGTGCCTTGGATAGACACAAGGAAGAAGAGAACTAGAAAAAACTCTTTCCTTGAGCATTTAAATAGCATGAGCATCTTACATCTTTATTGTGGGTAGAGCTGCTACCTTGTGGCTTTTGAGGGAGGGGTAAATTATTCGGGTGTTAGAGCA